ATAACATGACTTTCGTTAACCGTTAAGTTTGATGGTTGCGCCGTTGGTGTCAAAACGAGTGATGGGGTTCCTACGAAGAAACCATGGACTATAAAGACCAACATGCATTGTCTTCACAACTACCTTGATGGAAGAGTGTGTTCGTGTACCGTTCAACATGCGGAAGGTAGGGGGCGGAACCTTAAGAATACTGAATCCTACACTTACATCATGACTGACTTGATCCACCAGGCTTTTGCTTATGCAGTGTCGGTTCAAGAGAAAGTTTCAAGTGCTTTAGTCGCAATCATGGCTGGACCTAGAAGGCCTTGAAGACGGTGCGATCTGCATTCGACGCAAGGTTCTATAAAGATGTGCCGCTGGCTCGGGTGGACTATGGCTCGGACTACCTACTGCACGACGGGAAGGTGAAGGCCGAGATCATTCCTGACCAGCTACGCATCGCCAACCGAGACGCTTGGTCAGAAATGTTCCGTGATGCGGCAACGCAATCATTCCTCGTCAAAGACATGGACTCCGGCGTCGATCTTGCAAAGATGAGTGAGCGAACCGATGCTTCGGCCCTCGCCAAGAACGCTACGACATCGTTGACAGGTGTTGCGGGTATTCTCAAAGAGGCTCCAGTGGAGGCATTTGATGTCCTCTTCTGCCCAGGGCAACCCGCGGTCAACTGATTCCTTCAACGCGTTGGTCAAAGATGGATCCAAAACCGATGTTGGCACCATCATCAAGGAGAACAAGGTGACTCTTTTCGGCCACAAGCTACGTGGGGAAAAGGGCTACTTGAGTCGCTTGACGCTGCCGAGCGAGCCATGTTGAAGCTCGCCGAAAGGCCCGAGCCCAGACCCTATGGCATTGTCATTTCGTGGTCCGGGAACGACGTTGTCGGTCGTAATGGTTACATCGACAACCCTGCCGCCCTAGCGGGCTGGGCCACGGATTCCGAGGCAAAGCGGAAAGCGGCGATGGACATCATCGAGCGGAATGCGAAGTCCGTTATGACGGTTCGTGACCGACTTCGTCACATCGCGTTCAGGAGTGATGTCATCCAGGTCGTCTTGATCGTGCCGAGAGACTTTGAGACCTATGCGTTGAGTGAGTTGTACAAGGTACAGATGGACGAACATTCTCGGCTTCTCCACCGATCTGCTGGGATAACTGTACTGGACCCGCAAACGCTCATCTCGAACACCTCCCGAGCCGACAGAGTCCACACTGATGAACGCAACCGCAAGCATTATATCAACTACTTTGTCGCGGTCGCCTGGAAAGGGAGTACTTGAACATGGACACTTCGATTCCGATCTAATTACGGTGCATCACCCCAGGAAACTGGCGGTCCGGCAACTGCAAAGAATCCTGAGGATCCGTTCGACAATGAGATCCGTGAGAAGGAGCTGGAGGCGATTGCGCAGGAGCCGAAACGCGAAGTTTTCCTGGAGGCCGAGAAGGAGGCGAACCCTTTGTTTCCCCTTCCATTGACACAGTGAAAGAAGAAGAGTGAAAGTTCTTCACATGATGCAGCCCGACATCCACGCTGCAACCGTCAGCGGCCACAATGACGTGATTGGTTGGCCTTCTTCGAATGAGGAGGATCAGGTCATCTCCATGGACTTGCCCCCTGGCTATCAGCCAAAGGCAAGCCGGCCGAAAGGCCAGGCCGTGAAGGTTGGTGCAGTGGATCCCAACGACGTTGGCGAGGACGGCCAGATCAAGCTCTTCCTCACCTCCAAAGGGAAAAGTCACAACAAAATGACGGTAGCCCACGCGGCTGCGACTCCGAAGATGAAGGCAAAGGAGGACCTTCCTGAGCAAGAAGATCTCGTATCTTGTCCGTGGCCTTGCCCATGAGCACGCGACACGGTCCATCCCCGAGATCAACCTCAAGGATAAGTCCTTCGATTATGCGGCCGTTGCAAAAATCATCCAGCGCCGTTACGACTGGAACTGCTCCCAGCACACCCTGCTGCAGGCTGCGAGCACATCTACCAATTCGAAGTCTATGTGGAGATGCCCCGGCAGGACAACAGTGGAATGGTCTTGACTTCATGCCACTGCGAATCAGAGCGTTTACCAGGCACAACGACTGGGTCACTGAGGCAAGCGGTTTCGACAACACCCCCGGCGAGCCCATCACCATGGACGTGAACTACACGATCGAGCATGCCAAGAAAGGAGTGCGGCCTGGATTCTGCAAGGACTTCACGGACGCACGCCGAAAGGCGATGCCCAAAACCGCGTACCACACATGCAGCACGCAGAACTTCTTTGACATTATCTACATGGGCATCTTCCGTGGTGGTATGGGTGACCGGCAGTCCTCTCGCGGCCACGCCTACCTAACGGTAGCGCCTCCTTGGGACAGGCACGGAAGAAAGGCAGGTGGCGCACGAGCCGATCGGCCAATCAACATCGCTGTGGACGTCGAGATGCTGATCCAGCTTGGCTGCCTACGCACTCGGAGACAGGGAGGCCTTGGTCACGGAGGACTGGATCACCAACAAGGGGATCATTTATGCACACGATGCAGAGTATGCGAGATTCATTTGGTCCAATCGCATGTACGTCAGCTTGCGAAGGAACTACCAGGAAAGCATCAAGAAATTTCGCGAGGACATGAAGAACGGCGTGAACGCGACGCCTGTCCTCGAATCCTTCATGGCCAAAACGGACAAAGAGTGTAAGCTCTCTTACAAACAGTGGGCTCCAACTGCATGCCGTGACATGACGAGGCCGCACAGGAGTCAACAAGATCAAGAATGTCTTCGACGGAAACCTTCCGAAGGATGAGCAGGTTGCCCTGGAATTCGAAACGGCTCGATATGGTCTCTACAGAAACTGGGCGCGTGCGGTGCAGCAGCAGCCCGGGGAGACCCGTGGCCGACTTTGGCAGGACCTGGATCCCAACCAGAAGAAGTCGACCAATTGGCGCTTCGCGGAGGTCATGACATCCCCGATGTCGAGTGTCCACGCTGCAAGATCATGATCCCTGAGGGCACAATCAATTGCTATCAATGCGACAACCTCAACGAGCGCATGCCCGACATCAAAAAGATCGCAAGGGTCATTCGATTGCAAGAGATGGCCAACAGTTTGGGCGTGCCGCTTTCGATGGATCCGATTGAGACCCAGATCTTGACGCAGCGCAAGGATGCGAGGGGCGACCGTAGCGCCAGAGGGGGGCGCGGTATCATGAAGGATATCGCAAAGAAAGCCGTGCTCCGAAACAAGCAATACAACACCTTGTATGAGCGGCTCATCAATGACCCTTTCTACGCTTACACGGCCGCGCGGGGAGACCTGACGCCATCTGCTCTCGAGTTCATCGAGAAGGTTGCGCGCTGTATCATTCCCAGCTTTGAGCAGACGAAGGAAATGATTCAGGGAAGCGTTGCTGTGCCCAAGTATTCCGCACGGCTAACGCTGGTGCCACCGGATGAAGACGTCAAGGAGATCAACCTCAAGGCTGTGTACGTCGTGCGCGGAGGCAGATTCCTGGAGACCGAGCAAATCGCCGCCTTGCACGGTAGCTTGGACAAGAACGGAACGATCGCTACCCGATTATGGGCTGGAGCCGGGACTTTACATCCGTTGGCGATCCCGAAACTGTCCTGGTGGAGTTGCTTTGTTTCGTGAAGAGGAGATCCCTGGCATTCAAATTCCTGGTCGAGCTACTCCTCTCCCTGCAGTTGTTGGGGTGACGCGCAAGCCCATCCCTCAGCTCCGGGAAACCGGTGGCCAATGGCAAGGTCGGCAATGGAGTCAATCGTACTGGAGTTGGGGCCAGTCCTGGGACTCGTGGTGGTCTGATGATCAGCGTCCATGGAAGAGCTCCCGCAATTGGGGCTGGCGATGAATGAGGAATCACTGCAAATATGTTTGTGTCTTCGGCTGACATCCAATTATACTTCAAATTCACAATTCATTATACTTGTCATTTCATGTTGGCCGAAGATCAATTAACAGGAATGAGTACGCCTCGCGAGAGCGATGGTCAACAGAGGCGGAAGACCTTAGCTGCTGTTGCTCGTATACAAGTGCTCATGTCCTGCAAAATGACCTCATGCCGCTCGGGTTTCTTTGGTTGTTTCATCCCTTTCATTTGTCCTCCTGTTTCACTTTCGGGCACGGGGGGTGTAGTTTGCAACGTGATGTATTTATCAAGCATGAGTGTCTCACTAGCGTAGCTCCGACTCACCCGCTACGCATGGCTCAAGAAAAGAGCGCGCCTTGGGCAGGGTTTAATGTTGACCCTTCCTGGTTGTTTAACCTGTTCTATAGAAATCAAGAGAAGCTCGGAGCAACTGCTCAAGCATCCTTGGAAAGCTCCACAAGCAGCAACAGTAGATTTTGACTCACGCAGACTGTTCGGCCGAAAGCTGAGTTTACCAGAGAGAGCACAATGTGGTCGCAAACGCATCGTCAAAAGTGCTTAGCCAGCTCATGCGCTGGGTGGTGGGCTGGGTAGCCGGTGAGCCATTGATTGTTGACTGGTTCGTCACTGCTTTTAATTTGACGATTTTATCAATCCGGGGGTCAACGTTGGCTATTAATTTAGCAGTGGGTTGCGCCCGAGAAGTCTTTTGTGCTGCTGCTGCTGCTGCCGCTACAGCGTTTCAAGCTCCAGCTTAGAAAGCTTCGTTCTAGATATGGGTGGCAGGAGGGCTGTAGCGGCAGTGTCAGTGATAAGCTTGAACTACGATACGGGAAGTCAAATTTGCTAGGTGTTGTTGCTGAGCGGAAGCAGCTAGAAATCCTAGCTCGTTCCATTTGGCCTGAACGCGTGCTGTCCTTTGGCTTTGGGGCTTGGACCTATGACTCCTATGGCAGCACAGGCTTAACGAGCAAGGTGTTGTAGAGACAAGGGAATGTAGGTTACCTCCGTAAAGACACTTTTTTCCAACGTTCTCCGCCTCTTCCGTGCTGATTTCACGATATCCAAGCCAAGCTTTGTTTCTGCCCTTGGATGTTGACTTTGTTCGCGAAGTCGCACATTGCAGGATGCTCCCGGCTATCTTCCTTGGGCGCCGAAAGATGGCGTTGATCTGGAACAGGCTCGCCCTGGTGGCCCTGGTGGTGGCCCTGGTGGTGGCCCTTCTGGCTGCTGGGCTGCCACCCCCAGGCGCTGGCCAAACAGAGTGTTCATTCCTGCGTTGGACCCGGGGGTTACGGACGAAGTGGCTGCGTAGTAAGGGCAGGACCGCGGCAAATCTGTCTCTTCGTGATAGAAAACACTAGATGTTGTCTGTTTGGTGGTCATGTTGAGCCATCCCACTCTGACCAACCCTTCTGCAAGCCTCTTGCATTTTCTTGCGGATAAGGTTCCAAGGAATCACCGCGAGTCGATGACGCTGCAGCGGGAGGAGCAGCTCAGGAGGAGCGCCCCCGGTTGCATGTGTCACCCATGGGTTTTACAAAGGACACTGATGTGCGCAGCATCCGGAAAGAACCCTAATTGGACCCTCTTTCAAGTCTGCTTCTTCCCGGATGGGCAGAGCCTCGCTTAGCCACCAGGAAGCAGGCGGTCAGGTGCTTCCGTGGGGCGCGCCTGAAGCCGCAGACCCGCTGCCATTAGATTCGGATGAGGGCGGCCCCGGCAGTTTGTTGGCCTTGAGCGTTTGGCCAAGATTGGAATTGAGTCAAAGCTTAAACGTTGAGATTGGGCTAAGAAGACACTGCCAGGCATGCCTCAGGAACCTCAGCAGGACATGGCAGACGCTTGGTGCCAAGAAGGTGTTTTTTTGATAGATGAGCTTTGCAGAGTCCAAAACTGGCCCAAGGATCTACAAGGCAGTTTGGTCACTCTTGTCCTACAGTATGCCAGCCACATTCAAACCTAGAGGTAATCCCTCCCATTCAAATGATTACTTTCACAGCTGCCTGTGAATCTTGGCCAAAAACCCGCCGCTGGCTGCCTTTAGAGTTTTACTCCATGCATGTTGGGGCCCTGTGTGCTGGGTCCACTGCAAGGATGTGGCCAAAGATGCACAAGATCCCCCATGTTCGCCAAGCGACCTCGACACAGCACGTTTAATGGATGCTGCAGAGGAAGCGCTTAGGGATGATGCCGCAGAGGCCGGCACGTCATAGAGCTGCTTTGCCCGACTTCGCAAGCAAAGCAGGAGTAGTAGGTGGGAGGCGTCAAGATGGCAGTCCCACAGATGTATGACACTGCCTTTGCAAAGCAAACGCAGCTGGAGCTTTGTTATTCTCCATGGTCCATGTCTTTGTTTTGATTGTTGTTGTTGTTTTTTTGTCTGCGGCAGGCAATTGACCAGCGGGACAGTCCAAAGGAGGGCAGGGTGTTTGTTTGATACTGCGGTTTTGGCTGCGTGCAGGGCTTGGCTAAATTGCCAAAGGGGTGCTCGCTGGGAACGGCTCAAAGCTCAAGCTTTTTAGCAGGCCTTTTTCCAGCTCCTTCTGGGAGCTGGAGCATTCCATAATGCTGATATCGCCGCTTTCGCGGTTGGTCCTGTTTAGTCTGTGCTTGGCCACAGCGGGTGCGAGGGCTGGGCACAGCGCTGAAGGCGAACACGCGCAGTTCTTGCTTCGCCGTCAGGGCGGGCTTGCTTCATCTTCAGCGCGGGCTTCGCGGCGAAAGGCCCGGAGTGATGGCTTCAGCGTCGCCCGCTTGATTACCGATGAGCCTGACAAGCAAGAGGACGATCTGCCCGTCCCAGATCTCACAAAAGAAATCAGCCAAACAAAAGAAGAGGTAGTGGAGGACGTTGACGACAAGCTCGAGCAAGCCAAGGATGGACCCACCAATGATTTGGGCAAGCTGTCTGGCGCAGCTGTCTGCTTTTTCATAGTTGCTTGCGTGGTCTTCGTTTTCATTGTAGACCGCTGGGCAAAAGAGGCCCCCGAGACCCCCAAGAAGCCTGTGGAAGACGGGCAGTCGCCTCGGCGATCCCAAGCTGGTCGGTGGGCGCACACCATGGATGCCAAAGCCCTGGAGGAAGAGTTTGGGTCAGTTCTGCAGGGCATCAGCTTGAATACCCTGGAAAGTGCCCAAATCGGTCTTTCCAGCGAGGCACAAAGAGCCAATGAGGCCAGGTTTGGCTTAAACAAGATGACCCCACCGGTCAAGCCTGGCGCCCTCTGGCTTTTGATGAAGCAGGTATTTGGGGGCGTCTTCAATTCCTTACTGTGGTTTTGTGTCACGGTCGAGGTTGCTTTGGCTTCTTTCATGGGAGCAGATGAGTCAGACCTGGTAACGCCGGGAATTCTTGCAACAGTCATCACCATGGCAGGAATGATGCAGTGGTGGACAGAGCAGCAAGCAGAGTCAGAGATGAACTCTTTGCAGCAAATGCAGTCGGCAGAGAGTGTCTCCGTATGTCGGGAGGGCCAGAAGACCAGCGTTCCTCCCCAGGAGCTTTTGCCAGGCGATGTAGTTTGCGTGGAGGCGGGTCAGCGAGTTCCGGCGGATGTCCGCATCCTCGCAATGACAGATACAGCGCTTGTTGATAACTCGGCGCTCACCGGCGAGTCTGTGGCTGAACCCCGGCGTTGTGAGCCTGTGCCTTTGGAAAATGATCAGCCAGCCATTGCGTTGGTCGAGTCCTGCAATGTGGTCTTTGCTGGAACTAGTGTTGTTGAAGGACGCCTCGCGGGCGTAGTTTTTGCGACTGGGGACGAAACTCTTCTGGGAAAGATTGCGAAAGGTGTGCAGCATGCACGTCCCCGTTCGTCCCTGGAAGTTCAGATTGAGCATTTTGTCCACCTGATCGCCATCACTGCCACCTGCACAGGGTTGTTGTCTTTGGTTGCAAACATCCTGTCCCCTCAGAAGCTGAGCATGGAGAAAGTCTTGCTGAACTCATCCACTGCCTTTTTTTGCTTCGTCCCCGAGGGCTTGATGCCTACAGTGACGTTCTCATTGATGATTTCGTCCCGGCAGATGGCCAAACGACGGGTGCTGGTGCGAAAAATCGATGCAGTGGAGACACTGGGGTGTGTCAATGTCCTATGCAGCGACAAAACCGGCACTTTGACATCTGGCAAAATGACAGTCACAGATGTGGCCACCATGGAGAAGTCAGGCAGTTTGATACAGATGACTCTGCAAGAGGCCCAGGCCCAGGGCGAGACCAGCCAGACTCTGAGCAAGCTTACGCAGGGTGGTCTACTGAACTCAACTGCCAAGCAGAATGCAGAGCTCAACTTCGTTGGCTCACCCACGGAGGTGGCAATTGTTTCCGCATGTCATAAGATCACAGGGAAACCGCTGGAAGAAGTACGGAAGGCCACGCCACAGATCTATGAAATTCCATTCAGCAGTGCCACCAAGTGGATGCTGACAGCACATGACCATGGAGCAAACGCAGATGCCACAGGAACTGGCAGCCCTGTCAGACTCTTGCTGAAGGGTGCCCCAGAGTTTGTTGTCAGCTGCTGTTCGCTCACATCAGAGCAAGTGACAGAAATCACCCGCTGTTACGAGGGCTTCATGAACTTGGGAAAGAGAGTTCTATGTGTGGCCGAGCACGACTTTGCAGCCCCACAGGACTTTGAATTTAAGGGTTCCAGTCCAAAGGACGCCAACTTCCCTCTATCTGGCTACACTTTCCTTGGAGTTTTTGCCATCGAGGACCCTCCAAAACCAGGCGTCCCCGAGTCCATCATCAGTATGCGCGAAGCTGGGTGCCAAACAGTCATGGTCACTGGAGACCATCCAAGCACGGCGCTGGCCATAGCACGACGAATAGGCATACTGAGCACCGACGATGAGCTTGCGCAAGGGTCGGCCGAGTTCCGAGCAGTCACTGGTGCCACAATCAGCAGCCAGGGTTTGCCCCCAGAGGGGGCCAGCCTCGCAGATGTGGCCACGGATCCCAAGTTGGCACCAGAGGTTGCAAGCTTTTGGCAGCAGTGCGTGGCTCAGACGCGGGTTTTTGCTCGCGTGTCACCGCTGGACAAGCAGGCAATTGTTCAGGCCTATCAGCTTTTTGCTGGACACATTGTTGCAATGACCGGGGATGGTGTGAATGATGCTCCGGCTTTGAAAGAGGCAGAAGTGGGCATTGCAATGGGCATTCGTGGCACAGAAGTGGCCAAAGAAGCAGCAGATATTGTTTTGCTAGATGATGACTTGCAAAGTGTTGCTGCTGGAATGGAGCAAGGGCGTTTGTGTGCTGAAAATTTGAGAAAGTCGGTTTTGTACACCATGTGCTCCAAAGTTCCTCAGGCCCTACCAACATTTGCGCAGTTGCTGGGTATACCAGTTGCTTTGACTACTGTTCAGGTAATCCTGATTGACATTGGCACGGACATATGGACTGCGATTGCCTATGCAGCACAGCCTGCTGAATCAGAGCTCATGAAAAGGATGCCCCGGCATCCCAGAAAGGATGCAATTGTGAACTCCGGCATGATGCTGTACTCCTTTGCTTACATCGGCATCATTCAGTCGTGCTGCTGCTGGATGGGATTTTTTTCAATGCCCATGATGTGGTCTCTGCTCAGCAAGAAGGAGGTACCTGTGATATACACTGCCAGCGAAAAGATTGCAATTCAAGCTGGCACCACAATGTACTACTGGGCTCCCTGTTTGCAATATGCATGCCAACTGCAAATAAGTATATGTTATTATATGTTGGTGTGTGTTTTTTCGAGGGTACCTTTTTGGTTTGGCTCAGGGGGGACAAAGGGAGATCTGGCGGCCCTTATTTTGACACGTTCCCCATGACCCCATTTCACTATCATGTCTAGGTGTAACTACTACTGAGGCGCTGGTGTGCGGCCAGGTTGGAGCAGCCTACGTCTCTGGGCTGCAGTGAATGTTCTGACTGCTTAGCGCTGAGCCTGCGGGCAATGACAGGGGTGTCAGAATTTCAGTCTGGGTATGACATGCCATGACGGGCGAGGGCTGTAGCTGATGAAGATCAGCTCAGGCGGCGACTACCACCTCCATGTCTCTTGTTTCCTGGTTGCACTTGCGGCTTGTGTTGGGAATGACTTTCAGGTCCTTTGCCTCATTTGCTACAACAGGGAAGAACTGACATTATATTGGATTGAGGCGGCAAGGTGCACTTTTTGTGGGTCCCTTTTGAATGCCACAGGTTTTGCGAGAGATGCACGTGCATGTAATTCGCAAGGGTCAATGCTTGGTTTGGGCGATGTCGGCGTGCGCACGGTTGTTGGGTCTATGCTCACCTTTATCGGCTTGCATCATTAGCACATATCAGCCGCAGTTGTCATGTTCAATCTCCTGGTGAGGCACTGAAGCCGGCTTTGACAAGTTTGATTGCCGTTATTGCTTGCGCTGCATTTGGCCACCAGTTTCAAAGTTTCCCTGTCCTGTTTTGTTTGCTTAAGGTGTTGTGGTGGCGCAGCAGTCAGGGTGCTGATCACAGCGCTGGTCAGGGTGCTAGTTTCTGCGTGCTTGTTTGGCGCTGCAGTCAGGGTCGGGGTGCTGGTCAGGGTGCAGTTTGCTGGTCAGTGTGCTTGTCAGGGTGCTGTTTGTGTGCTCAATGTGACTGGCAGTGCTGGTTTGGCGCTGTTTTCGGTGCTGTCAGGACGGTCAGGGTATGTCAGGGTGCTGTGGGGGCTGTTGCGGCTGGTGAAAGGGTGTTGTTTTGGGTCTGGCAAGTGCTGTTTGCGTTCTTAAGGCTTAAGGTACCGTGGTGTTTCCTAGCGGCTCCTGTTTTGCAATGCAACGTGCTGGTCAAGGTGCTGTTAGGTTTGCTCAAAGTGGATGTTGCTTGTTTGGCCGTGCAGCCAGGGTGCTGGTCAGGGTGGTGTTGCAATCTCCCATGCTATTTGCGGGGCCTATGCTGGTGTATTTGTTTGTTCGCCGAGTCCAGCTTGCATTGTGCACCAAGGCGAGCTATGGCATCCCAAACAACTGGCTCAACTTCTTTATTGCGCCTTTGCTTCTTCAACGGCTGCCATTGGCAGGTGGTAGGGGGTTTTGCGGGACTTCGATTTCCGGGGTCCAAAAGGTGTGGAGGCAATATTTGTCATGAGTTGTATGACACGCAGCAGGGCGTCCATGTCATTTTTCTTGGCTTCATTATCTTGACTATGCGGAGTGCCAAGGGAAGGTTCTGCAGACTTCCCTGGCAGTTGGGCAAAGTCATAGTTCAAACAGGCATGTCGAACTACGTTTTGTCATCTGGGTCCCTGCCGCATGGGAGCCATTGACAAATCAAATTGCTTGCCTAGGGCTTCATGTCTGGTTTCCAACGAGGGCCTCGTCTTTATTTGGTGCTCTAACAAGGGCACCATCCCACTTTAGAGGCATCAAGTTCGCCCTTCCCACCTTCAGCCTTTGTGCGCTGATGGGGGGGGCTGCTGCGACGGTTAGGAGAACCTGCTTTTGCCACCAATCTTAGTGCTGTGTGGCGTAAACAAAGGACGCTGAGATGCGCCAAGCATCAGCTGAGCTTGCTTGCTTGTATGCCCACGGGGCGGGAACACATTTGCATATCGGGCAGATTTGCGTCCGTCTCGGACATCCTTCCCTGCAAAAATGTTGCCCCCCCTGCCCCCCGCAAACCTGATAAGCATCATGCTTGTACGTTTCAGAAAGGGGCTCAGAGACTTCTTCTGTTGTCGCCACTTCAGTGCCGGAAGTGCAAACGGAGAGTCTTTGAGGCTGAGGCTTGGTAAGGCACGCTGGCCTAAAGATGAGAAGCTGGCCGCGTGCAAAAAGTTCCGGCAATTGAGAAATCACCTCTTACTCTCACTGGACACCTTCCTTGGCGTTCAGCAAGGCTAGGGCGTCTCTTTGTTTTTTCGGTTTGCATGTTTGGTCTGCGAGCGTGGACTTTTTGCGCTGCTCGAAACGTTCGCCTGGCCGAGGTGCTTGAGTTTGCCGGGTCTGCGGCAGCCATCTACTACCCAGATTTTCAGCAACTTGGTTGAACATGCCGGGCGGAGAGCATGCGCATGATGCGCTGGGAACCCAGGCACGCTTTTGGGACCAGATCATTGACGCAGCAGCAGTTGATCATTGGATCAGTTGCCCTGCGGCTCGGCCAGCATTGTGCAAGCGTCAAGCACTTTTCAGACTGTCGTTTCGTTTTGCAGAGTCAAATTTTGCTGGACAAGGTTTTTGATCATCCTGGCGGAAGAGATTCGCAAAGTGTTTTCCAGGAGGCATGGTTCTGGTGCAGCATCGTGTTGTGTAAATGCCAGGGTGCCGCAATAAGGGTTGGGGAAGGTAGGGTGTGCGATGCCAAAGGGTGCCTCTTTAAGTGGAGCGAAGCCCGGTGAAGACAGAGATCAACAGGCCGACCGATCGCACATGCCAAACAAGATGTATGTATCCGTTAAAGTGCTGCAAGCAACGGCATCCAACAGCTTCATGAGTATTTCCTGTCCAGTGGAATCCGCCACTGGGTGCTATTTGCACCAAAGGCGTAAGGCTGCCAAAGCACAATGGCACGATGCAAGTGGCTCTTGCAATGCGCGCAAGCCAGAATCACAGGGCCACAATTCCCAAGGAACAGGGTCAGTTGGCCCAAGTCAGTGAGATCAAACAAGCACTGCCCAGATGCCAGGAGGGCCGAGCAGAAGCATTTGGCTTTGGAGACGCCTGAAGGCGCTGCATCAGCCTTGCTATCAAAGGCCAGGACAGTGCAAGGGTTGCTTGTGTCAAGGGGGGGTAGGGCAGGTCTACTTGTGTCAGCCTTGCTGCTTGTTTGCTAAGAAGTATTCCGAATAAAATCGTTACCTTGTGGCCAGTCTCTTCTTGACCTGACCATGGCCTAGGGAGCAGCGTATGACAAGAATGTGGATGAAGACGAAACTGTGCCTGACATCGGGGGATCCGTGCCAGCCTTTGCTTGCTTTTCCGTTGTGACGGCAGTATTCGCGGCACACGGGTGTTACTGAGATACACCAGATCACCCTGAGGCATGACTCCAGAAGCCGCCGCATGTGCAGTGAGAGGCGGCTGAGTTGTGCGTCAAGGCACTCACAGGAAGCCAAGCTGATGATGGATTGCACTGCAGCTTGCGCAATTGCAAAAAGATGCGGATGCCAGACATGTCCGGGCATCCGCTTGGCATACACCGCTCATACGCCTGCACATTGCTTGCTGGCAACTTGTCACGTGAAACGCTCTTGGTGGCCAATGCCTGTCAGCAAGGGTAGAAGGCCGGTAGCAGGTGGAAGCGCCAATCTCAGAGGAGCACGACTGGAGGCACGGCGGTTTGGGTGGGAAAGGTCCCATGTTTTTATGTGGAGCCGCTGAGCTACAGGAGGCTGATGTCCAGAATTTCGCGCACCGTTTGCCTTGCCTGCTTGGCGCTAGGTGCGCCGAGTACAGCATAGACATTGCAAGATGATCTCTTATGCTTCATGTTGACTCTTTGGATACGTCAGGTGGTTGGCACATGGTGTCGGTTGCATTCAGCAGTGTCTCAAGGACAACTTGCCGGTGCTTTTGTGCTGCGCAAGACAGCCCCGAAGGATTGCTCGTCGTGCGGAGTATGAAACTGGCAAAGTCAACGTTGGCGCGGAGGTTTCTGACACCGAGGCCTGGGGCAAGGCGTGGCTTTTTGATTTGTCCTGCGGGCTGCCAGGTCCCTCCTCCTCCCCCACCTGTGTTGGAATGCGACGAGGGCTGCATGACGGCTATTTTTGATTGCCTGGACGAGGGCTGCTCTGTGGACGCGCTCCTTGCCGTCAATCGTTCGTTATTCTGACATGTTGTAAAACAAATCTGGCCATCTCACGAAATCCCGAGGCTGTTGAAGCTTGACAAGAAGCTGGCGGAGGATGAGCAGCGCATCGTGGGCACGGTGAAAGAAATCGAATCCGTGCAGAAAACGGCTCCTTATTTGTAGAGTGGAAGGGTTGAAAGGCAATGTCAGTGTGTGTGTGTGTGTGTGTTTGTGCGCTGTTTGTGCGTCCATCATTTGTTCATTGTAAGGCTTACTCGCCGGAGAACGCAGGCCAGTCGGCAGGGATGTCCGAACGCATGCAGCCGGCGTAGCGGCATAGCGCAGTCAGGGTGATGCCGGAGGGGAGGGGGGGGAGGGGGGGACTTATTGGCTTGCAGTGCATTGTGTCTCTTCAAGCCAGGTACTTTGGCATGGCTGAACAACTTCCTCAGCCGAAGTGGCAGCTTGCGGGCACAGCTCCAAGCGCTTCAGGGGGTGAAGGACGTAGGGCAAGGCTCACAGGTTGCAGGTGGCTTTTATTTTTGAGGGTTACCCTTTCAGGTTGGCTCAAAGGAAGACCACATGGAAGTTGCGGTCCTTTTTTGACACACCCAGGTGGCCGAAGGTGGTGCTTGTGTCTGCTTGCAGGATTCGGACTTACTTCAGCAGATCGTGAAGGCGGCATCCGTGGCCTTTGGAGGTGGCCGCCCGAACGACTATCCGAAGGCCTTGCTGATGACCTGCGTTGGGCGGTGCAGCCCCACCTGCCAGGTCGGTGTTTCGCCATACACCTCCTGAGCCAGCGTGAAGCGTGCCTGGCCAGGAGTCTAAAGCCTGGCCAAGTTTTTGGCACCACTTTTGGGCTGCTTCGCACAAGTTCTTTGCCAACAGTCGTACCATTGTTGCTGTTGAGTGCCGCATTGCTAATGCGGTGTGAGCAGTGGCGATGGCTGCCGCCTAAGTTCCGTATGTTTCAAGGCGTCGGGGGTGAGAACATGGTATGGACGGAGCTGCGCCCCATCAATTTCAGCCCTTCGTTTGACTGCTTCCGAGAAAACGGCGCCCGTTTGCAGCTGTGCCTGTTCAGGCGCAGATGTTCGGAAGTCCTGCCAGTTCTCGGCACCTCTACAAGCCAATTTGGCGACCAAACATTTGTTCAGCTAGAAATGGCGCATTGACCCCCAGAGCGAGCGTGACTCATGAGCACGGCAGATAACAGTTTGGTGCATGTATCCCGCAGCAGCACCAGGCTCGAGTAGATATGGCAAGAGTTATGTTCCCGTCCCGTTGAGTGACATAATGCACCTCACCAGCTGCAAATGGCCTTGGAGTTGTCGGTCAAAAGGACTGACAGGTTCTTACCCACGGCTTCCTCTTCACGGCAAGCTTGTCCTGAGAATTTCGGAGAAGGCTTGGAGGCACGGGGGCGACACATTGAGCCTGAACAGGCAGTTGAAGCTTTCCAGGTGGTCGTCAGCGCTTCGGATTTTGAACGATGCTCAGTCCACAAAGCTTAAAATAGATGCCGCCACAGTGAGCACACTCGTATGCTCTTGCAGCAAGACGAGCCATTGGCAGAGGTCGCAGGACATTTTGTACTTCATGCCGCGAGCCAGCTTGCGATTGAGTTCAATTTGCCACAGCAGTCTGAGTAGTTCAACAGTGCGAGCTGACAAGTGGGCAAGAGCCCTGGCCATCAAAGATGAAATGCCCAAACTGCTACTTGCCTCTGACCAGCTTGCCAGAAACATCGGCTTGAGCGCCCATGCCAAGGCAGGTTGGGTACGGGCAAGCGAAATGCTTGTTTGCCCAGTTGACTCAGCAAGTTTTAACATTGTACTTGCCAGCTGCGCTGACTGGCGGCAGTCCCAGAATCTCTTGAGGGTTGCTGGCTCTCGAACCCTCCAAGCTGACTCCATTGGCATGACCTCGGCTCTTACATCGAGCCGATGGCAAACAGCAGTCTCCGTACTGGTGTCACTTCAGGCTCGTCAAACCCAAGTCAGCAAGAATGCATACACCGCCATTGCTGGTGCTTGCGATGGATGGCAGTGGCCGCTGGAGCTTCTTCACAAGGCAGCGCGTTGCAGCATAGAGATCGACCAGGTTTTCCGCATGAGCATAAGCCGTGCCCTGAGAGATCAGTGGAATGTGGCGTTGGGGCTCTTCGATGCGCCTGTGACCAGCATGTTTCTAAGCTCCTTGAAATGGCCGCAGGCCCTTGACAAGCTGACAAATGCCTTGACGAAACCTTGCAAGGCGAGATCCAGCGGCAAAGCTGGCCTGGATGTAGACACCTTAGACGAGGTATTTGTCAACACTGCCATAGGCAATTTTGACTGGCAGATGTGCATTGATTGGTTGAAGCGGATGGTATTTTCGCGCCTTCGGCCAGATGCACACAGCTACAGCATAACGCTAGCTGGCATGCGGGCAGGGGAGTGGCAAGGTGCACTGGCCTTGCTGGAGAATTCAGAGGATCGCGCCATTGTAAGTGGAGTGCTGGTTTCAGCAGCTCAGACTGCCTGCTTGGAGGGGATGGACTGGAAATCGCCCTTGCAGCTGTTGTCCCGGGTGGACCGGGGCGATGGGCCACGTGCCATGCGAGTGGCACAAACAGTTGCTTCCAGCGCCTGTAGCAGATGCTCGAAATGGACGAGGTTCCTGCAGGTGCTGTCAAGCATGCGCGCCACACGGCTTCAGACAGACGCCAATGATGCGATATATGCAGATTCAAATTTGTATGCCAAGAGAGGGAGCTGGCGTGCGATAACGGAATTCGCCCTCAACACTTGGAGCAGCTCTTGTGCTTCCTCGGGATTGACACTGAGTGCGTTCTGCACTTCCGGCATTCAGCTGGGGAAGTGGCCGCAATCTTTGTACTTGCTGCGACGCAGCATGCGAGACTCTGCGTGCTTCACGAGCCTGTCATTTTTATGCGGTTACGTGCAAAACCAACAGTTGCTGGCGCACTTGTTGGAGTTTGTGTCCAGGATCGCGCTTGGCTCGCTGCAGGGCGCCGTCGTTTCTTTGGAGCGCTCGCACCTGCCAAAAGCGTGCTTGTGCAGGGCGGTGCAGAGTAATTCTTGTAATGCACATCAGTTTGAGCATGTAAGCTTGAAGGCCTAGACGGCATCTTGGTAATGTTCCAATTGTTTGTTGCTCGAGACATTGCGCATATCATGAGCACAGCGGCTCAAGCATCATGGCGCAGCCTGCGCAAGCACGGAGGCGAGCTACGGAAGCTGGGCTTCCAAGGTAGGGTAGCTTTCCCTTTCCAGTCCCGCTTGCTACATCAGCCTGGTGAACAAAGAACATGTTGCTGAGTTTCATGTCATGACAGGCCCGTTTGAAGTGGCGTATTGGGGCACAACGGGGCGGATATGCACCGGTTGCAATGTCACAGCGAATCTTAGCGAGGTTTTGCTGGCATAGAACTTGTTTGGGTTGACCCAAAAATGATCATTCTTTGCTCCTGAAACGTTCCAGTTCCATGCGTTTGAGCCTAACCTCCAGCTGCATGATCCAGCTGCATGTTCCGTAAGGACATGACATTCGGATGGGTTCGCGCTGTTTGTGTTCCCTGAAAATGTAAATGTTCAATGCGCCGTGTTTCAGGTGTCGTGATGTTCTGCAGGAATGTGATGCCCACAAATTCCAAGTCATGGCGCCTGCGCTTGCCCATCAAAGTGCTTAGTCCATGTCAAACAACATGTGCCAAGCCCACTATCAATATGGAACTTGAACATGTTGCAACCAACAGCGTTTGCTTTCCTCGTATTGCCCAATTGCTCGCAGCGAAGCAAACAATGTGTTGAGCTGCACTGGCGGTTTGTGGCACCCTGGATCATATGCCTGCGACTATCTCTGCATGCGGTCCGGAATTTCACACCGGAAAAACACCAGCAGGCTATGTCAATCAGATTTTCACGCCCTGAAGCTGATGCGAAAAGATCTCGTTCATTAGAGGTAAACCCCCGCGATTTACAGCTAAGACGGCCTTATTCAACATGGCTCGAGTGTCACATGGCCCGCGCCGTGCAGGATGGCACGGCTGGTGCAGCTTGTCGCTTGCCTCGTGGCAGCGGCCAGCCTCCACAGCTTGGCCTTCGCACCTGGAGGCGACGTGGCAGGGGACAGTAAAGTGAGAATGGCACTCGCTTGCCAGCTGCAGGAACTCTCGCAGACACAGCCTTGCCTTTTTGGCCTGCAGAGTGTTTCCGCAGCCGAAACATCCTTGGCCGACAGGCCGGGTCGATGCAGTGCAGCGCCGCATGGCGATTATGTTGGTGGCACTGCCGGGGGAAGCCATGGCAGCCTCTACTGCGCCCTCAAAATGGGCAGGCAGATGGAGTGATCCCGACGCGCCCGGATGCAAGCGTGAAATTGTGATGAGCTTCGACGGAACCAAGGGGCGCCTCATGGGCGCAGAGTCTGTGGGTATGAACCCAGGCAGCCTTGCTGCACAACGAAGTTGTTGGATGCGGCGTGCTGTTGTCAACAACCTCTTAGCTAAGAGTTGTGTGTTTTGTGGGGTTTGCCCTCTGTTTGCAGCCAAGACAGATTTTCCGTTCTCTTTGTGGGTTGAGAAGCTCTTGGGTCATTGCTTTCGAGGCCTTACGGCAGCTGAGATGGCGCGAGAGAAGAGGGTTCAAGCGAACAAGCCAGGATGCTCGCGAGGCGATGCCCTGAAATTCTGGGAAGCCAGACTCTCCGCTCCGGGGAAGGACTCCGACGAGCTGACCATCGACCTGTCCAAGTCGGGGCTTCCTGGCCCGAAGTCTGTTCAAGCCAAGTGGGACGGCTCTGGCATTGTTTTCCCGGATGGCACAAAATGGACCCGTGGAGGCGGCCTCTCTGGTGGTAGGGGTAGTTAGACAGACGGACTGCGAGCCAAAAGGTGGGCAGCGGGGGCTCGTGCTGAGTCATGAGCTAGTCATGAGCTTGTGCAAACAAGGCGTGTCGAGCATGAAGTGACTAAGCACGGCTTCCAACGCCTGCCCAATCCATCCAGCAACAATGTCACCAAGCTTCACAATTGGGTGTCACAAAGGCAAGCTTTCTAGTGTTCACACAACATGAATTCTGAATAGCACAACTACTGGCACGAGTCTGTTTCTTTTGCTCGCAGCCCCTGTAGTGGTTGAGTTGGGCACCTTTCAGGATCCGGGGGCTACTTATGTTCGCAACCTGGATGTCTCGCCAGCCGCAGCCATGTCGCGAGAGAACGGGAGTGAAGGCCAAGCTGCTCACAAGCTGAAGGTGTGAATCCTGGCGACATGGCAAGCGGAGCCCCTCCGCACCAAGTCACCAACCAAGTGTCTAGCCCTTTCCAGTCGCTCCCACCGTCTGCTGTTTGCGACGTTCTCCCGCACGAGCCAGCCGCAGCCTGATGAGAAATGAAATGGCAGGCCAAGCTTTGGCATTTGAGCAGTAGCTTGAAAAGGGTCGACGCAGAGAGCCTGCTGAAGTTGACAAATGCTACGATCTCCTCCTGTGGCAAACATCATCGCTGGGACTGGTCCTTACATTTGGTCCACGCCATGGGACACGGCAAGGGGTTTCCATCTCCCGATCTAATTTCCTATGGCAGCGGAATTTCCGCCTGCGGTAAGGCAGCACGTTGGCAAGAGTCCCTGGTCCTTCTGTCAATGTGCTTTGACAGGCTGCGGCAGCAAAAATGTGTGCCGGACATAATTTGTTTCAATGCAGCGATTGATGCTAGCGGGCGTGGCTGGCAATGGGCGCACTCACTGCAGCTGCTGTTTGACATGTGTCAGCTTCGTGTGAGTCCGGATGTTGTCAGCTTCAGCTCCACAGTCGCAGCTTTGCAAAAGAGCTCCCGCTGGCAGATGGCTCTTGCCACATATGCGACGCAGGAGTACGGTGCGGAGTTGGACGTATTTGCCTTGACTGCTGCCCTTAGTGCCGCGGAGAAGGGTAGACAATGGCAAGCAGCGCTTTCAATGCTGATGAAGTCTCAGCATGTGGCGGACAGGATCTGTTTTGAAGCTGCCATGGGCGCATCTCAAGGAAGCTGTCAGTGGGAGCTGTCTTTGTCCTTGCTCGCCCAGATGGCTGATGTCATGGTGGCGAGGGGCGCGACTTCTTTCGCGACCGCGGTGAGAGCAGCATCGACTGCAAGCAAATGGAAGCATGCCGTCAGCATCGTAGGTACTTGTGACGGCCTTGTGGATGGCTTTGCTTTGAACAGCCTTCTCCGCGCACTGAGTTTCACCAAACTTGAAAGAAGCCACAGGCTTTGGCTGCTTTGCGCATTGCGGGTGCGCAAGCCTCTTCAGGAGCTTCGTCAAGGGGCAGGGCTTGCAGAGCTTGTGGAGCTCGTAAGCCTCGCCACGTGCTATGGGACAGGCTTTTACGCCTCTCGGCTCTTGCGGCGTCGGCTTCCAGCCCATGTGGTCCGGGCTGGGAAGTCACGGCATGGCCTCAGTGACTTGGGGCCCTTTGCTGCTGAAGCGCTGGAGGTCCGGGGCTTCTGCGGATCAAAAGATGGATGCTGGGCTGGATGAATATGTTCTGTCCGTTGCTTTGGGACATTGAGACACTGGGTCTTGACGGCGTGCCTTGAGACACACATAGTTGTTTGGCAGTGCAGCAGGCAAGCTTCAATCAAGCTTGGTTGCAGAGAGGGAATATGTTCTATTGATTGAGGAACTGCAGATGAGAACATCCGGCCATGAGATCATAGTCAGATTTTCCCTAAACCTTAACATGCGGAGCTGTGTCCAACTTCAAAGTCACGGAAACCTGGTGCTCCTTCAAGAGCCGACAAGCGTGAGCCATGGCGTGATAATCTGGAAGCAAGCTGGGCAAATGAGAGCCCTCCAGATCACCAAGAGGAAAGGGTGCCGTCCATGGCACAAACGCTGTCCGATGCGGGCAGCATCAGGCAACGGACTGTCCCTTGGCAAGCAGAGCTCATGCCACGGGCATGCGAACGATCCCCAGAAGTCCTGTTGTCCGAGTTCAGATGCAGCCCCACCAGCCCCTGTATCGAGAAAGCAATGATGTCCACTCGTGCTCCATGCTGTTTTTCAAAGTGCCAGGCTGCAGTTGTTTTGCGCTGAGCGCCTCTTACCTGAAGGCTCGTGCCAAGTCCTGGGCACGACAGAGGGCTTGGGAAAGAGCAATAGCCACCACCTCAGATGCCTGCCACACAGATGCCTCAGCTGACTCCAAGGCGTCAGGCATTAGATGCAAGTTAGTTGATGATTGCAATCCTGGATGATCATCTTAGGCTGAGCTGGTGGTCTTTCCACACGGACTCTCACCGGCAGCAATCACACAACAAGCAGAGTCAGATTCATGCAATGGCATGTGTAAAAAGAGAGCAGAGCACTGCGCGTTCAGCGGTCAAATTCTTTGAGGACTTGACATCATTGCTCTCAACACAGCGCTTGTGGCGTCAAGAAGTTCTTTGGCTGCATCGCCGCAATGCTGCGCCTCAAATCTGGTCTGGTGTTGCATGATTGCTGAGGTCGCTGGGCTGCAGCTGCGTCTCTGCATCTTGGCCAGGTTCGGGGTGTTGGAAAATGGTGCGATTTTCGGATTGACGGTTCAAGTGTAGAAAAAATGGTTTCTTCGCTTGATAAGCAAGTGCCCTCCCCCCATCGCACTTCCTTCCGCCATGGTGTGGTGTGGTGGCGCGTGGGATGGAACTCCGAGGTAGTATGGCATGGCATGTCTCTTTAGCGAGCAAGCAAGTCACAGAGAAGCAATGACCAGAACTCTAAATCATGCCCCCTGCTCACAAAAGACATGCTATGCAGCATGTTTGTTCAGCACAAGGTTGTTGTATGCTTTCAGATTTGGGGGGAAGATGTGCCGGCTGGTTGGAAGGGTTGTCCCTGGCTTCTGATCCTGGATCTTGTTGGGTGCTGATTTTGTAGATATGCACTGTCTCCTGAGGTTTCATGGGATGCCTGGCCACGCAGTGGAAGTTGACGTCATAGCTGCCACTTCTCTTGTCAATGCTTGTGAAGATGGACACGCGTGGAACGCCGCCGTGTCGTTGCTGCGGTGGGCTGGCGAGGCAGATTTGCAGCAAGATGCGTACGTGCGCACAGCAGCCACAGCAGCGGTTGCCAAAGATAGCAGCGGCTGGCGGCTCGCCACCAAGATGCATCACGAGGGTCGTGACATTGCTTCGTCGTCTTTGCCAGCTTGGAACGCGTGCTTGTCAGCTAGCGCTGGCTCCACAGTATGGCGCCTGGCACTGGGCTGTTTGCAGCAGCTTTCCCAAAAAAGATCCCTGCAAAAGGACGTCGTCAGCTGCAGTTCTGCGTTACACGCATGCGACATGAGCAGCAAGTGGCAGCATGCATTGCTTACGTTTTGGAACATGCAGAGGTTTGGTCCACAACCGAACGTTGTTGCCTATGGATCTGCAATGAGCGCAGCTTCCCAAGCACCTGCAGGGGGTCCATGGGCACTTGCTGCATTGAAGGAAATGGCTTTGAACAGGATCAAGCCCAATGTGATCTGCATGAATGCTGCCTTGAGTGCGTGCGCAGCGTCTTTTTTGTGGCACGAGTGTGCGAACCTGCTGTTGCAGATGCGGCGTAGCAGCATGAAGACCACGATGGTGACTATTGGCACTGCCATGTCGCTGGCTGACAAAATTGGGCACTGGCCAGTAGCACTGGGACTGCTTGAGGATGCATCACACATGGCACTGTCACCAAGCCTCATTGCAGCTGCAACGGCTTTGTCTGCTTGCAAACATGAGCCAACATCTTGGAGGCTGGCTGTTCGAAATCTGGCTCAGCAGAGGCAGGTGGCAACTGAAGCGAAGACGTCGTCCCTTTGGCCACCGAACCTAGTGATGGCAAACGCCTTGTCCGCCGTATGCAAGGTTTCTGGCAAGTGGCGGCAGTGTACTGAAATCTTGGACGCTTTGCCCACCTGGCGGCTTCAACCAGATGGGCTAACATTTGCCAATGTGGGCGAAGCCTTGGCTGCTTCTCATCCAAACTTGTGGCAGATGAGCTGGCATCTCTTGCGCAGGCTATCCGGTGCAGAGCTGCAACCGGATGCTGTCCTGTTGCAGTCGGCCTTGCATGTATGCGAAGCTGCGGGCAGCGCGCGTAATCAGACTGGGGCACAAAGATCTCCAATGATTTTGCTCTCCATCCTCCAAGCACGGGCAATTAGCATGCTTGAGATGCAGGGGAAAAAGCATTTTGCTGCTTTACACCGAGTGCAGGACGCTACAGGTCAGCTATGAAGCGGGAAGAAGGTCTGATACCTTGCCTCCAAGCTTTAACTTTTGAATTGCATGCAAGCCCACGTGTATGTTCATTCATCGTAAGGTCAGGCGTCACACCTAGGCACCGTGTGGTGAGTACTTGTACTGATGCGCAAGTCTACGTTTCGTTTCTTTTGGGTTCGTCGGTGTTGCTGGAATTGATAGCGCCACATGGAAACGATGCGTCATGTAGCTTGCGTGCGCGACCCTTTCACGAAATCAAGCCACGCGGCGGCCGTGGCAGTTGTGTGGTCGACTTGCCGAATGGCTTCTCAGCTGAACTAGAATTCCAGCTTGCTTGTGTCCATTTGGGTGCGCGAGTGTGTGCGTGTGTGTCTCCTGAACTGCCAGGTTGTTGAGGTTACTGCTTGCCACCCAACACAATCAGTGTGGGCCACAGCAATTTCATAGAAGCCACATTTTGATGGCTGGAACAACAGCAGCCGCAGGGCGAGCTCCGCATCCTCACTCCTGAATTTGCCAAGTCGGGTTCCGAGCCGGGCCAACGTGCTATGACAGATAATGGTTGCCAGTGCCTAACACTTGTTGCCAAGGTTTTGCCACCTGAAGCTTGCTCTAGCAAGGTGGGGACGTGCTTGTGGTTCGAGGGACGCCCGCAAACCGCCAGGCACCTCAACTGTGACCTGCGCTCCATTCACTTGGTCAGCCTCGTAGATTTGCGCCCCTTGCAATGCTGCAATCAGATGCGGTGAGCGGAGGTGCGGAAGGGCGCCAGAGCATATTCGGCGTACCGGGACGAGGACTTTGTGGACGAGACCAGGCGGAACGAACGAGGGCGATTTTGACATTGCGCATGCACTTTCTCCCGCCAACATAGAATTTGTGGGATGGTTTCTGGAAATCAGCCCCCTCTTCAATGGACTGTCAGGTGCCACGTTGGTGGGAGGGAGGGTATGCTTTGACAAGAATTGCACGTTTAGCACCCTTCATAGTGACTTAGACGTTCTGCAATTCCGCGAGCCAGGCAACTGGTGATTGTGGGGGTTGATTTTAACAAGTCTGACGTGGCCTTAGCCCCTTGCAATGCTGACCGAAACGGCATTGCCTACAACCGCTCTGGGCATGTGCAGCACCACATTGTGCTCATATTGGTGGCAAAGAATCCTTGTCAAACGTTGTGGTCTAGTTGGCATTAGTTGGCCCAGTTAGTCCAGTTGGTCCTGGCCTTGTGAGTTGGTCCCATCTTTTTTAACCGTTGAATCCAACTGTCCGTAAGACTTTGTGCGAACACTGGTGTCCTGCGGCTCTCATGCGGCCTGTTGATGTTTTCTAAAAAGTCCATGATCATTGACCTGATTGTGCAAGTTACTAGCCAGTCACTTTGTCATTCAGTTAGTTAACTAGCTGGCCAAGCAGCCATTTAATGTGGTGTAGTCAATCCTTCAGTAGTTGACTGGTTCAATGTTCAATTTATGCCAACCGAGCCGACTGTGGCAACTGGGCCAACAGTCCAACTGGACCAACGACCAACTGGACAGCGTGTCCCCCCCCCCAATGCACTTGACAACTCATTCGCCTGCCATAGGGGCCAACCAAAGCAGCGTTTTGGGCATCTAAAAGCATACTGAGGCTTGCGACGTGATCGAAGTCAGCCGTGCACCAAGCCACATTTTGCTTTGCAGCGGGGAGCCTGCTGTTTTGGCATTGACGCATTGACGGTAGAATGCCTTGCTTGCTGTGTCCAGAGGGCAAGCGTGCACGGCTCAAGAGAAGGGTGCCCTTTGAATCAGATAGCGCTAGTTCAGCTCAAGATCTTCAAGCATCTCCCTGCCAAGAAATCACAGGGTCTCAGGAAATTAATTGCAGGACAAGAGCGGGAATGCGATGGCACAGGACCGCCCGTATGGCGAGCTCCAGCCCGATGCTGATGAGCAGTCCGGCTTTGCATTTGTGAGCGTCCTATTCCTTTTCTGCTTTTGACCTTGCGGATTCCTGTGATATTGAGATCTCGTAATGGCACGCCAATCTGAATTGCATTCTTTGAATGGGCAACTTGGGGGGTGGGGCGGGGGTAAGGGCAAGGCAGAGTGTTGTACAGAGGTTGAGCGAGAGCGAATCTTGAGACATGTACTTGGTTTCCTTTTGCCGGAAGCCCGATCGCCGCAAGATGTTGCTGTTTGTGTGTTGTGGTCGCAACGGGGTGTATTCCTAGACCAGGTTGTTTGTTCATTTGTGCTAATTTGTCCACCCTGAAGTGTTCCACTGAGGGATGATGATTCTGACCAAGAAGGAGCTATTTGCAACCAGGATGTGGTCGAAGTGATTCACGCAACAACCCTGAGAAGAGAGAGATCCTTGCAGAGCCAATGGATATGTGAATTTTCACCAGGTACATTGCTGCAAGTGCTGCAACACGATGGCTGTGAAACAGGCCGTCAGCGTGCAGAGGTTCAAGCGCAGATGGAATACGTCAGCGGTTGGATCAGCACACGAACCAGTTCTCATGAAATGCTGGTTCAAAGGGTCGGCCACAAGTTTCCAGTGCGGATGGGAGGCGTAGATCCCCGACTGAATCCTGAAGGGATCAAAGCAGCACTGGCCTGCCTCATCGAGCAAATCCAATCTCACGATAATTTTGCCTTACTGATGCAAGGGCGGTCTTCAACCTTGGCTGGCAGATTTCAGCTACTTTTGTGGGGTTCAAATGAGGTTGAAGGCCAGTGTCCTCGGGAGCTGGAGCGAAGCGTGTTGGCAAGCTTAAGCCCTGGAAACTGTCCAGCGGAAGGTCTTGCCTTGATTTCTATGCTGCTGGTATTGCAACGTGAGGCAGTCCTCGAATTGCACAAGGGGTTTGCCCGGTTGCATGAGGAAATGGTATGTTTGGAGGACACAGATGCCGATACGTTGTTCAACGTGCACGGGGAAACTCAAAAGGCCTTGGTCCAAGCAAAGGAGTTGGCTGGAAGAAGTGAAGCCATAAGCAGCGCACTGTTGCTGCCCAATATTTCGTGGCGAAGCCGAAGGCCAGATCTGGTGAGGCTAGCCGCAGAGCTCTCACGCGGGCACAGCGCATTGCAGGAGTTTTGCGCAAGAGCCGCCAGCCTCGCTGCCAAACGGCGGGTGTTTGTGGCAAGGCTCAAGACCGCAGTCGAAGCCAGAGCCGCTACTGAGGCAGTCTCAGCAACAACTCTGTTGGCACAGGCGTTGCAGCCTCACACACGCCTAGACTTTCCTTTGGTCACGGAGATTTGCGAGCGGGCCACCAGCGATGCTGCGGAGCTGGACCAAGTTGTGCTTACCCTCGAGGCCGCCTTGGGAAGTCCCACTTTGCAAACCCGGCTCAAGGTGCTGACCATCACCAACGAACTTCTGTATGATGATGTTGCCCGTCAGGCTTTCGCATCGAAGCCTGCATTTCAAATCTTGCAGCCCTTTGCACTTGAAGAAGGCAATGTGGCAATGGAGCTGGCGGCCGCAAATGCTGGCCTCTTGGCCAGCGAGATTGCGCGCCGTCTCTCCAGAGTGGATGTGGCCCAAGGCAGCTGCTGCTTTGCAATGCCCCCTCCTGCACTCGCGTGTTGGTTATCCTCGGTCGCACGAACACCCAGTCGCCAGTCTGCAGAGCTCGAACCGGTGTCGTGGTCGCGCGCTCGCAGTGCTGTTCATGCCTTGAACGCCAGCATGCACGGTGGTACAGCAACATGTGCAGATGCAATTGCAGTTCTAGATCAGCTCTACCGTTGTTTGGAGCATGTTGCTCGCAGCATCGAGAATCTGAAGAGCGCCATGCCCCCATCACAAGGAGAGGACGTTGGAGAGCTCACCGAGAGCTTCCTGCAATCGGCCTCCCACGTGCAAAGCAGCGCATTGGAATGGAAATGTCGGGTGGTGGACGCGTTCGATTCCACTGACGGACGTGAATGGAGCGCGCACTGGCCGCGGCGTGCTCAGAAGCCGCTGGACAAGTTCTTGAGCCGTGCAGTAATCGTTGGAGACAGCTTGAACGCGTGTTTGGCCGTACTACTTGCCCGGCGGCCAGGCTGAATTTCGTGCCAGCGCGGATTGCTGGAACAGAACGGGCCTCACATTGCTCGAGAAATTGCAGACGGCGGCCTTCACATCTAGGACTTCAAGCAGAGCAGCAGGCCTTTGGCTGATTAAACCAAAATGACGAGGCCGCGAGCATTGGCATACCACGTTGCTCACCAATGGACTCGCAGTGTGTTTCTTCAACGTCAAGCAGCCAAATTCCCCATGACTCGTCACTTTGCAAAGCTGTGAGAGATCAAACAATTTTGAGCGCGTGTGCGTGTGTGCAGATCGCGACGTTGACGTGTGCAACCAGGCATTTTTGCAAGAGTGGGCCAGGCCATTAGTGCCGGGTTTCCAGCCGAGGTCCCGAAGACATGGTGGAGGACAGCTTTGGTAGGGTCAAGCCCCGTCCTTCCCGCAACGTGCATGCCGGGAACGAAGAGGATGTCACTGCCTCAGGGAGCGCACGCAGTTTCTTTGGCCCGAGTGAATGTGCCATCTCAGGAACCCCCGCCTTTGGCTCGGAGCTTAGCGTGCCGAGGTTGTTGTTGGTTTGAACTTTGCTTTGCCCCTTGTTTGTCCTACCCGCCCCCCCCAGTGTGGAATGCCTTCCTGCTCTCTACTGTCTCTCTTTGTCGTGAATGTACTTCCGCTTTTTTGTGCCTTTCCTCTTGTCTCTCTGCGGGGTCGCTGCCTCTTCCTGCGCCTCCGAATCAAATCCACAGTTGTCCTTAGGTAGTACATGTAGCTATTTCAACTTGCCACTGGAATCCACGTTTGCTTCTTCTGTGGTTTGCCTCTGTATACCGTTTGGCTCAAGATAAAAAGGGCGCGAGTGGTATTGCGTCGCAGCCATAGCACTTTCTTGCTGTCAGCTGGATTTGACTGGTTACCAGCCGTAGGCTCACAGACCACCACGGCTGAGGACTAGGAACGCGGGCGTGTCTCTTAAACTTTGGAGGCTTATTGGCTAGAAGATAGGGCAGACGGGGTCTCAGCCAAAAGCTTGGGTTGATCGAAGACACCCTCGGGGAAGAGATTGGGCGTCGCTGCAAATAGCAAAGGCCGACTAAGCCACAATCAAAACGTGGGTAGGTGTAAGGGACACGGGAAAAACACAAATAAGCACGGCCGGCTGCTCAATTCTGCACATGGCTCTAGGTGGACCGTTTCAATACCGATTTTCCATTACGACTCAGCTGAACTCTCCTGGAACAGTTTGGAGTGAGCGTCGTCACCTCCTCCTGATCACACTGCGCAGCTTTAGGCGGTCAGGTCTCCAGATCAGTCAGCTCCTCTGAGGCTCGGGCCGAACAAGTCGCTTCGAGGCCTGCACAGCGTCAGTCCAGCTTTCCATCGCGCTGGCTATTTCGCTGGCACACCTTTAGGAGTTGACCGTTCACTTGTTTTGGCAGTACTCTTTCGAAGTGTCGCAGGAAGCTAGCTAGCGGCTTTTTGCAGCTCCCTGAAGAGCAGTTGCTAGCAGAAAGTAGAACACCGCGCTCTGATGCCACCGGCGTTGTGCGGCGCGTTGATTCTGCCTGCGCGCGCATTTCTGGAGAGCGTGTGCTTTGGGGAAAGCGACATGCCCGGCGCGTGACGACTACCATTCCTTGTTGACAGCGCTACGGACGCGCAGCCTGACCTTTCCAAATCTCGGCTTGGTAGCGCAGCAAGAAGAGGGCGATTCAATGGCATCATTCGTTCTGCTGCGCAGCGAAAGCATGTTCGTGGATTGTAAACTGTGTTTGACAGAAGAGGTTGGAAGTTTTGGAGACCGGAGCATGTTCAGTCTGCGGGCTGCGCTCTAGCTGCTGCGGGCGCTGAAGATGGGGATGATCCCTGTCAGCGCTCGCAGGATCAGCCCAGCTTAGTTCTTCTCACGGAAGGAAGCTCAAGAGGGCAACGCTCATCATGAGGAGACTTTTTTGTTGCAGCGACCGTTGCCAGCTCCATCCTGCATGGCTGCGGCTGTAGCGCTGCGGTACGCGTGTCGTCCAACGGACTTTGCGGGGAGCCATCAACTACATTGCAGAGAAAGAGCGCATGTTTTCAGAGGCCTTGTTCTTAGCCACAGAGGCACAGCTCAGCCCAGCTGATGTTTACCGCTGATCCTCTTTTCCTCCGCGTCGGCCAGATTCCAAGAACGCGCGTGTGAATCCACGCCTCGCGGATCGGGCTGTCGCCGTCAGCTCGGAAATGCAGAGGGCGCATGTTTGGCTTGCAGGCGCAGCCCCGGAAGAGCCGCAGCGGGGCTGGCAGGCGAAGAAAGAAGGCGTCGAGGACGAAGAAGAGGGCGACGCCGGCGGCTCTCGCGTTGGCATCTATGCAATCGAAGAGGCGAAAATGCTTTGCGCGAGAGGCAACAGCCCAGAAGTTTCTCTGTGCCTCCGGAACTTCGAGAATCTGCGCAGCAAGCAGTCAATGTGTTCTCTTGAACACCAAACAAAAAAGGTCAAAAGCGAGCGCCCCCGAAATGATACGGACGAAGGCTTCAAAAGCCGATACCTCTGCAATGATGTCCGCTGCTCCTTCGTCCCGGTATTGAGTCAGTTGGGGTCCTCAAGAACGCATGCCGCGGGCAAAGTGGCTGGCCAGAGACTCACAGGAACTCCTAATAGAAAGAATTAGAAGTGTTCGAAAATTCGCGGGTCGCCCGTGCCAAGTTCAGAGTACCCCAAGTTGAAACCAACACAATACTTCCACCCCTCCTACTGCCACCTGCAATAATGGGCAAAAACACCGAAGCTAAACCTGTTCAGGTTTTCGTGCCCCCGTGCCAATCAGACAAGTCCCCGCATTGCTAAGCTTGGGATGGGGCCAGTTTCAACTGGCGGAGGCTGTTGGGGCTGCGCCTTGTTCGCCAGCAAGCTTGCGGGCTCCAGGGTGCGATTCCAGTAAAGCCTGTCACGTTGCCTTTTCTGTCCCAAGGCCAGCTTTCAATTTCGTTGCCATGCGCCTTTCAATGGCCAACCTTCACTAGTTAGCTTACCTGAAATTGCTTTCCAGTTGGCCGACACACCGTTCCTGCTCAAGTTGGGGACTTTTTCTTGGGTTCTTGACGCTTGCTGTCTTGACAGCTTTTGAGACAAATGTCGGGCGACAGCAACAACAAGCTCACTGCCGCCCTGTCGCAACTGCTTTGAGCCGGGGCTACGCATGACCTGGGCGCGCAGGGCGCGCAGGAGCGACGTTGTGAAGTCACTGAAGTTTGCAAAGCGGGTGGCCAAGACCGCACGGCGTCCTGGGAAGAGCGCTCTCACGTTTCTGGGAGCTTGGAGGCCAGAGAAGGCGACCTGTTTGGTCGCTCCCTCAAGACGCATAGCTTGCGCAATTTTGATAGCACATCTGATCTCGGTGTAGTTGAGAACTTGCCTTGGCCCGTGCGCGAACTAATCTTAACTGGAAAGGTGAGCAAGCCCCTGATCTGCCAATGACTTGTTCAGCTGGAAGCTTGGCGACGAGGGAACCGCCCAGGCTTAGGCCTGAGAGCGTGCGCAAGTCTGCGAAGAAAACTTCCAAGTGTGAGAAGGTCCAAACGGGGCCCACAATTTTCCTTGGGTAGGTATCGCGTGCGGTTCTGGAATGAACGTTTGCTCAAACTGTGGCTGCCATTTCTGCAGCAGCTGGGCTGATAGCAAACATTCAGCTTGCTGTTGTGCACCGTTTGGCTGAAGACAATGAGGGCGCGAGTGACTTGCGTTTCGCGCTGTAGCACTTTCTTGTTTTGAGCTGGGTGTGACTGTTCTTCTTTGTTCCGCGGTTGCTTCACGCGCTGTTCCTACCGAAGTGATCCGGGGTGCTTCGGATCTTGTCCTTTCTCTTGTCTTTTTCTGCGTTTCCTCTTCTCCTCTCGTCCGTGCTATCCTTGCTCCGTCAACAAAAAGTAGGCTCCCAACCTGGGTCGCGGGCGCGGGTGGTTGTTTTGGTTGGCAAGCGCATTTGCGTGCCTGGTTTTGTCGTAAGAATATGCCACACGCGCGTCACGTGTAGCAGGGCCAGGTGTTCAAGCGCAGGCCCGCGCAATCCCACACTCGCACCATAGTGCAACACTATGTTGTCACACGTGTTTGTGCCCTGTCTTTGTTTGTGCAAAAGTGTGGTCGCAGGTGAATGCTTGCACTCGGTAGGGATTCAGCTCGCACACGTTTGAAGCACTTACTTCCGGATACCTTCGGCCATTTTTGGGCATAGCCGCATAGCGGCATCAATGATCAGAGGCCGGTTTTAAGTTGTTGGATTGTTCAAGTGAATGCATGACTTTGGTCGCTCATGGGCACCTCCTTGTCTGAAAGGTCTGCAGCCGTCCACAATGGTTGCATTTTGTTTCGGATAACGATTTGGGGGCAAGCACTGGGGGCTGGGTCAAGAAGCAAGAAGTTTGCCACGTTGTTCTGCCATCAACGTACGGTGTGAGACCTGCTTTTCTGCTTTTCTTGTTCACAGCTTTAGCCCAGGTGCCAGGCAGCGGTTTCGGCACGTTCGGCGGCTTTGCGCCAAGTTTCGGCCAATGCTTGTCATTGCACGTTGTCAAATGCCAAGGTCTCGGCGGCATTCGCGGTTTCAGCACCCTTGGCAGCCTGGGCAGCAGAGGCTTGATCGCCCACAAGGCGCAGCCATGATCTGAACAAACTCGGGTTGCATCAAACTTTGGATTCACCACAAGGTGTGAGCCGGCAAACTACAGCCCCAAGTCTTTGACAGGGCTGTATGTCACAATTTGCAAGGTTTGAAAATGTTTAGCCGGAAACTGACCGCAGATTGCTTCGCATTTCTTTGTATCCATCCGGAAATTGAAACGCCTCTGCTAGGCCCAAGCTGCAAGGACCTCAGCATTCGCATGCTCGTAAGTATACCATTTACAATTTACACATTGGCCTGGACTATGTCATGGTTTGCCGCAGACCTGGACCCGAGCTCGCATGTGCCCGAGGCAGCCAGCAGTGACGAAGAACTTGAGGAGGAGAGCATGGATGTTTGCGGTGCGTTGTGATATGGTTGAGTGAGTTAAGTGTTAAATCATATTCAATCTGAGGTGTTTGCCACTACCCCAAGCCACTACCCACACACCACTAAGATGGTATATGGTGACTACATCGTAGTTGGAACATGCCTCATGCTCCCTTGGCTGGGGGTAGTGCTGGGTAGTGGGCATCCTTTCAGGCTAAAAGTCATCAAGATCGCTAGGGAGCTGGAGAAAGCGCAAGCAAAAATATTGCTCTTGAAAGGATCCCACGATCACCTATGAGGAAGTTACAGGAACTGTCCTCAGTAGACATTTGCAAGCACATGTTCAAACCTGAGTGCATCCTGAGGTTTGCAACGAGAGCTTCGTGCCACGGGCTTCATTGGGCCACATGGGATTTCACATTTTCAGCGAGGCCGCAGAGCGTGTGCGCTTCTGCACGCCAGGCGATAGTTTTGCGGATCCCAAGTTCCAGGCCGTGTGAGCTGAAGTGTGCGAAGAGCCCAAGCTGAATCTGCAGATCCAACGGTGCTTTCTGCCAGGCCAAGCTGCAGGTCATAGAGCAAAAAGCCGATGGTCCAGGTGAGCTCGCCCCAGCCTCAGACAGCCTCAGACCACTACGCGCCAACTCATTGAGAGGCCTTTTACTGGCCCCCGGCCAGTCCCCTCAGGGTGCCCTTTTTGAGGCAAAGGCTTATAGGAAAAGCCAAGACCTTCCAAGCATCACAACAAATGCAATGAAGTCAGAGAGCGAATGCCGAGTCCCAAGGGCACCCCCCTTGACTTAAAAACACTTCGAGGACGTGAGTTGAGTGCCTCGAGCAGAATTGAACACATGCTGCAACTTTGCCATGGTCCCTCGCATAGACCTCCTTGGCAGGCAACCCCAACTTGCGAGACTCTCATTTGATTACTTGGCTCTCCCTGGGGCACGTGTCCGGAGGGTACCTTGAAGTTTACTTGCAAGACCAGATTTGGTTGCCCCACCATTGGCACTTGAATGCGTGTGTTGTGTTGCCGGCCACACATTGTGAACAAGCCGTTAATATTATTTTCCCGCTGTTAGTAGCGAGCCCTGTACGCCGGGGCCGCACACTTGCAAATCCACAATGCGGCTTGTTTGTTCTTGATTGGCTTCTTTGAATGTGCGCACCATGCACGACGTGTTTGTTTGGGCACCTCTTACTGTCCCAACTGTTGTGCACGTCTTTTAAATTGTTCCTGCTTGCAATGCAGGCCAGAAGAAGGCAGGAGCTGATGCTGGAGGCCGCGTGTAGGAGCTCCAAGTTGGAGACGCCGGGTATGTGTTAGATTGGTCTTTGCGTACCATTGTGGAGCCACCCCCACCTAAGTGTGACTCGGCACCAAACTGATGGCTCGGTCAGGTGCAGAGCGTGGTTCTGCCGAAATACGGCTTTGAGGGTTCCAGGGCAGGTGTCTACAAAATGATGGCGGCCATGGGGCCATATGCCGCCACCTTTGCCGATGGCTGGAAGACCATGTCAAGCAATGTGTCGAAATGGAACAAGGTAGAGCAGCCGGAATTCACAGACCTGGCGGAAGAGATCAACAGCCTGGGCCTCAGTGTCCCCACGTGGTCGACTGAAAGATCCCTGTATTGAGAGATGAAGGGGGCGAACATTTGGCTTGCGTAGCTCCTTTCTTGGCTTGCGTAGTGGCTCCACATTGGACTTTGGCGAATGTTTTGACTAATGTTCAAGGGCCGCAATGGGCCGCATCTGAGTCTAGGACGCCCCACTTTGCAGACTCAGTGCGCACACCAGGTATCGAACCTGCCCCACTTTGCTGTGCTGGTAGCGTTCTGCACATTGGGCAATCTGAATCGTACTTTGTGTACCATATAATTTGCACTTTGTGTACTACGGTTTGGTGCTGAAAAGCCGCAATGCTCAAGCTGTAGCTGCCAAAGTGTGCTTCCTGGGCTGGTTGTGTCCGCCAAAGTGTTGTTTGCGTATTACATTGGTACGGAATGCTCCAGCTGGAGCAGCTGTGACCAGAGGAGCAGCTCAGCTCCTTTCCAAGTTCAGCCGCACAAGGCAGTGCCATTCACCCAATCATGTTTGCGCACGGTGTGTTCCGAGATCGCGTAAACAGTTGCTCGCCGGACCGCTGTGTGGACAATCTGAGCGGCTGAGGAACATTGCTGATCTTGGAAAGGTATGGAATTAACAAGCTGCACTCTATCAGGGAGAGTGGATATCAACGAACAAGCCCTGTGAACTACAGCACTTTCGGCAATTTCCGGATTCTCCAGGTTGCCCCCCCCCCCCCCCCCCCCCGCGGTCACTACCAATGCCGTGGCCTGGTGTCTATCCTCCCTGTTGAGGCCTGCTTGGTCTTCGGTCTCCTCCAGAGCTGCACTGGCATGTGTTTTGAAATGGGAGTTCCAAGCAGAAATCTCAAGCAGACATCTCAAGATTGCGATAGGCCGTGCTGAAGGGTTTTGAGCGGTTGGTCCTTGATCCCGGGTCTTTTCAATGTTGGGACTGCAGCTGGGAAATGGCAAGGGAACATGGCAATGCGTTCCACGTGGTCTGCTGTAGGTTTGCCAATGATTCCACAGCAGCAATTGTAATTGCCGAATCACGTAGAAATCGCACTCCGTGCTAAAGTAGGGTGCAATGCCTGTTGCAACCTGGCATTTTTTACAGCGCCAGGACATGGCGAGGATTATCAAGAGTGGCTTTCTCAGGATCCAGGGCACAGTTCCCAAGAGCAGTTTGTTGCTCAAGGCCTGTGCCAGGGCCAGCAAGGAGCAGGCAAGAGTTCCTTCCACTCGCCGTGGCGCAGGCATTTCCGGTGTGTTTGCCAGGTGCCCACTGGCCTTGATGGCCTGGATGGAGGCAGCAATGGTTATCCGGGTGGGAAAGCAATGCCAAACGGCATGAGTGGCAAGGAGTGACGGGATTGCTTTTGCAGAAGTGCATTTTGGGGCGTTGTTCAGTCAGCTGTGCGCTTTCCATGAGCGCATGCACAGGAGACCTACGACAATGTGAAAGGGATCGCCCAGCCTGGGCTCGCCTGCCCTGCGTTCATAGCAGTTCGTCTTGAAATAGGGTATCCCCAAAATGGTGTTGTATCCTTGTGGCTTCCCTTCAAAGCCGCCCCAGAAGGGTAACCTCCAAGCAATGGACAGCCCGGTTGCGCCCAGAACATGTGGCCTGCCAGGGTGTGGCCTTCGGACAGGGACCCGCCCTTCAAGCTCTCCATAGCTGGCAGCCACGACCTGAAGAGCAGGGGATGAGATTGGATGATATGGATGACCAACAAGCAAGATTTGCTTCCAGCTGGCGCCATGGCTTGAAGGCTGGAATGGCTTCGTGCCAGATGAGATGGAGCAGGAACCTCGGTGGTGCAGAGATCGCTGGCCGCAGACAATTTTATCCGTGCGCCCATGAACATCGCAGTGAGGTGGGAAGATGGCCTGTTTGTTTTCCCCATGGAGGTTGGCGATGATGGACACGGCCTGAGAATGAGCATGGCAAGTTTGAATATGACCTGGCACCAAGTCTCATCAGTGCCTATGGCTAAAAAAGCTGCAGGTTGGGATTCTTTCCAGCTGCTTCGTAACGGCAGCGTGGCACTCAGACAAGCAGGATGGCGGGATGCAGCGTTACGTTTTGGGGCAGACCTGGCATCCACTTAGCATGTTGAAGCTCCAAAGATTTTATGCACTGCTTGATCGCAATTGTCTGGCCACAAGATTTCACTTTGCCTGGCCGAATTGTCGGGAGGCCGGGTGGACTTTTCGGCCAAAATCAAAGAGTTTCGCTGATTGATCGTGTCAACCATTCGCAGCATGAAGTGCGTCTGCCCAGGCTGGGACCACGTCATCTACCCAAGCATCGACGAGGCACGCTGTGCTGATGGGGGGGCCTTGAGTCGGCCAAGCATGGAGGTGCCAAGTGCAAATGGAGCCATCCACATTGCATTGCGGGTCCACTAAGTGCCCCCCTTGCGGGTCATTGCCCGGCATTTTGAGCCAAGAGGCTTCTAACTAAGCAGGTTTGACGGGAAACACTTTGGTGCCTTTTCTGGCTGACTGGCTGCACTGCGCATCGGCTTTGCCAGGCGGGTGCGAACGACAAATACACGGCCACCCTGGCACAGTTTGATTTGATCGCGGTTTGGAGGCACTCAATAGTCAGACCTGAGTGATCCCAATTCTTATGTGGCTGGACGGATGTTCCTTGGCCATTCCGGGCTATCCCCATCATTTGAGTGGAAGTTCCATCATCTGAGTAGCGCGCGCTGTCTTGCATGGCTTCAAGCATTGCATATGTGCAATGGCAGATTTGCGGACCGGACAGCGGCGGCGATGACAGGCAGGCCACTCAGAACCTGCAAACAATCATCTCTTCCCACTTGCTTTTGCTTTTTTGCAAGATGCTAATTCTGCACAGGCTGCCTCCATGCCCTCCCAAAAAGCACCCGTATCTTTCAACATCCGTGGGTGTTAGTGGCCCTCACGCAGTGGCACTTGCTCTCGTCGGGCTCAATTCCAGGCAGTGGCAGATCGGAAAATCAGAGGCTGAAGAGGCTCCGCACATCTCACAAGCTGCGCTTTCTGAGAGCCCGTTTGTGCCTTTGCAGTGCATCAGGCCACCCCGGGATCTCATTTTGTTGTGTGCGTATCCCTGGACGACAAGGGCAAGGCCGTCCTGCAACCTTCCAAGAACTCAGCAAAATCCTGGAACCTGGAGGTGAGCCGAGTGTCATGGGAGAAGCTGTGATGCGACCGCCACACCGAGTCGCATGTTTTGAAACGTGTTTTCTTTGGCTGCCGGCAACCCACCATGTTTTGTTGGTATGTTGACTGAAAGCCCATTTAAGCATGCACTGTGGGGTAGTGATTCAATGCTGCAGTGGCTGGGGCGTGCTGGCATAGCCAAAGACAATGACCATTTTGGCAAGTGTAGATAGTGGAGTTAGCGCACAAGCCGACCAGGCAACTCAACAGGTGAGGTTTCGCAAAAATGTGATTAAACCAGCGCCCTCGGCGTGACAGACGGCAACCAACCGCTGCTCAGCTTGTAGTCGTGGCGCCCACTCGCCTGTCCAGCCGTATGGCCCAGCTGCTGATTGCGTGCAGTCTGGCTGCGCGGTGATTGCCTAGGGAGGCCTGCAGCTTCTGAGATGCACTGCACATGGTGGAGTCGCGGCTGTGAGGCAATCATGATCCCGCTTGGAGGTGTTGGACCAGGCCAGCTGGTTGCATCCAAAACTGCATTTGGCGTGTCTTTCGCCAGAGTCATGCGAATCGAGCCCTTCTTGCAGTTGCACAACTCCGTCCATCGGATGTGACTGACCTTTGGACTCAAGCACGAGCCAGACAACAAAACAGGACAAACAAAATAAGAAAATTCACTGACAAGACATTGCTTCTCTCTTTGCTCCAACCCAGGCACAGGCAGGACTCGCAGATTGTAAAACACATGTGACATGGTGCATAAAGGCGTGCAGTGTTGTCCCAGAAGTGCTGGAGCAACAGTATTGAAAAGTAGGTGGATGTGCTTCATTCAGGTTTTCGACATGGCGGCCATGCGCCCTGGCGCTTTGGATGCTTGCTAGGTGCAAAGGCCGTCGCATTCAGTTCCGTGGCTTTGCGATTGAGAGGCATTCTGGGCCTGGGCCTTTTCAAAACCCAAAGAGGGCAGCTGATCGGATCCGGGATGCTGTGCCACTCAGAATGGGTGCGCCCAGGACGGACTGGCCCCAGGATGTGATGATCCTTGGCATCTGCCCAAAGGATGGCGGAGGGGTTGTCAGATTCCGGTGGCACACGCGCAAGAACACGGTGGTGACGAAAGAATTCTTGATCCCTCGCGGCTTACCTGGCGAGGTGGTCACTGTCGGCTTTGGTAAAGTCACAGAGAGGAGGTATCCAAAAGGCGACCTGGTTGTGTATGTGAACCCCGACGTGCCAAGAGTTCGCCCAAGCAAGTATGAAACTCGAGCTCCGTGTCCTCACTACCAATCTTGCGGTGGCTGCGATTTTCTTGACTTGAAGTATGGGCGGCAGCTCATAGAAAAGAATCGTTGGATACAGCAGGCCCTTGCAGGCAAAGTCGCCCCCATGGCCTTGCGGCGGATGAGACCTTCCACCCCACAACAGAGATATGCAATTCGGGCAGAATGGATGATAACACAGGATGATGGCGAAGTATTCATTGGTCCTGCTGGGTATGCACCAGAGCCAAGACCACCTGGCGAGCCTTTGTTTGGCTGCATGCTTGCCCCAAAGTCTGCCATCCGCACGCTTAGCATCTTTGTGGAGGCTTTCATGCAGATGCGTGAGCTCCGAAGAAGAGCCTTCAGTGTGTTCAACGATGTGCGCAGCTGGGGCAAATTTCGAAGCGTCATCGCCATCACAGCGCGGGGCGAGCCACGGCCAAGCGGAAAGCGGCGAACCGAGGTCCTTCTGAACATTGTTTTGGGTAACCAAATTCAGGACATACAGGGCGTCCTACAACCGTTGGCGGATGCCATTGTTGAGGCTGCCCCGCGAAATTTGATGGGGATTGTCGCCAATGTTGCAAGATCTAAGCGCACCATCATGGGGGGGCGCCGGGAATACTTGCTGTACGGCCGACGCTATGTTCGACAAGCATTTAATGCGTCAGTGCACGGAGAATTGCACAGCTTTGTGCTTGAGCTGGGCGCTGGCTCGCGAATGGCAGTGCATGGGGGGCTTTTGCGGGAGCTTTCCGAGACAATTCTTGACATGTGCAATTTGGGGGAGACAGATACGTTGTGGCACTGTTTCTGCAGTGGTGGGGAGCTAAGTCTGGCAGCAGGTCGCATTTGCGAGCACGTGGTGGCAATTGGCACTTCAGCAACAGAGGTGGGTGAGCTGAAAAGAAACTTGGCTGCCAATGACGTGTCAAACGCCACTGCAGTGCTGTGCAACCTCCGAAGCCCCTTCACCTTGAAGCAGCTGTCATTTCACATCTCTCAGTCACAGCAGAAGCGGCTTTTGCTAGGCACTGGGCTAGAGCAGGACAAGGCCCGCGAGTATGCCTTGACTTGCTTTGTGCCGGGGGAGAGCCGGCGGCGCTTGACCCAAAGGCTCATAGCCGCGCCCTATAATGCGCCGCTTCTCCGGGAGGACGCGATGGCACACCAGGAGTTGCGAGCTTTGCTTCCTGCATTTGTCCGGGACTTCCGGCCGTCATTGACAACTCTGCCAGTCCCAGTGAAGAGCCCCAACGCTCCGGAAGAGCCAAGCCGGGAAGTTACCCCAGAGATGGAAAATCGCTTGAAACGGTTGTACCGACGCTTGGCCATGAAGTACCACCCGGACAAGAATCCCAATGATCCTAATGCCTCTGATCGCTTTCAGGCACTGACGCGTGCATACAAGGCACTTGTAGGTGACGCAGCTGGCCCAGAAGAAGGTGATGACGATGCCGAAGATCCCTTTCTCGTGGCCCATTCCAACAATTACCGCATCAAATCCAAGCATTTCTGGAGGTATGACGCGTCGGTTCGACAAGGGTCCAAGTTCAAGCAAAAGCCAGGTGAAAGCGTGGAAGATGAGGAAGATGATGCTGATGCCAATGTGGCAGAAGCCTTTGGACATTCAGATGGGGAATCAGACAAAGATGATGACGACGAAGTCTGGGAGGTGGAAGCTGACTCAGATGTCGAAATCGAAATGGAAATCGATGATTCCTGGGCCAAGAAACGAGCAGAAGTGGAAGAGCGGCCAGAGCGTCCTGCCGGGCATGCTGATCAAGACGAATCGCCGGAAGTGGTACTGCGGGATGGCGATACCAGGCTGACAAAAGGTGAAACTGATGTGATGGCACCAACGCTCCCACCTCCAGATGTGATTCTGGTGTGTCAGCCCCGGAATCGCAAGAAAGGAAAGGGTACACCTACGTACTTCCACAGCTGGTTGCGCTCTACTGCTGCACGAGCGATCGTCTATGTGTCAGTGGACCCTGAGGCCTTCCAGGCAGATGTAAGCTCCTTGCGCGAGCTGGGCTACCAAGTGACCAGGGTCCAGCCCTTTGACCCGGAGCCTCACAGGAGATCTGTGCTGATGGTTGCAAAGTTTGAGCTGATTCGCCCCTTGGAGGGCTTGGAAGAGTACAAAGAGCCTGGAGAACACCTGCTGCCGGGCATGCCCGGACTTCTGCCATCAGACGGTCCGCAGCCCTTGCTGGTCAGCGGAGGTTACACGCAAATCCCTCCGCCGAGACCGTGAGGCAAAAAGGATTTGCATGATTTGCTATGCATCTCTGGAGCCGAGTTTGCCTTCGCTGCAGGTTTCAAGCCACTTAACTCCAGTATGTCAGCATTTTGTGTGTAAGGTCCGGCACCGGGTCCGCCTCCTCCACAACTGCTCAGGTGGGTTTTGTGCAGCGAGTTGAGCCTCTGAGCTGCTGCCCTTCGCAGGTACAAGAACATGCTCTACCTGATGGTGGACCCGCCCTGAGTCAATCTCTGCCAATGAGCCGTACAAATTCACCCGGAGTCCACCTCTCACGGCTTCCCTTCGTTCGCATGCCTGGCGAAATGCAAAGGACAAAGCACACTCAGCGAACAAACTTTCCCTTTCAACGCCTGGTGGTTCCAACTCTTTGATTTGAGCGATTTGAGTTTGCCGGAGCTCTTCTTCCTTGTTGCCCTCCGCCCGCTTCTGTGCCAGCTTCTGGGGAGAGGTACCCGGTCAAGCCGTTGGCCTGTGAAACCCCAGTGGCCCTGACCTGTGCCATTGACACATGCAGCAGGGGGGTCCAAGCGACTAAAGCAGTACTCCTTTTAACTTTCTGAAAGATACTGCCCGTTTCAGACAGCAGGTGGTGTTTTCGTTCCATGGGTTGTGACATTGCTCATCACGCAACTCGCAACTCACGGTATGAACATGAAGGCTCTGGAAGCCTTGCGCGGCGCCTGTCCAATGTGTCTTGAGGTTGGCTATGCAGTGGTTATCATCATGAGTTTATCGTCAGGGTCTCTCAACTCTGGGCTCAATTACGCCCGGCCCTCGGCATTTCTTTTCATGCGCTTCGAAGCACGCATGTCAGATCCCATTGGAAAACATAGTGTAGATGCTTGACTTTGACATGTTAGCAGCCATCTCCAGCATGGTTGGTGACCATCCAGAAGTTCTAGAAGCTGTGGGGAAGTAACCATGTATGGGATGTCTGTGGAGCTGAAATGCGAGTTCCTTGGAAAAGTTCAAGTTGGTTGCGTGCCTCCGCCACCCAGTTATTCATTCTTGCCGCAGCGGCCTCCATGGCTTCGCGGGCTGACCAGCGCGCCCCAGTTTCTGCTGAACAAGTTGCGGCAGCGGTTGTGTTTCAAAGAGACTTGCGGCAGGTGCATGAGCACCTGCATCATGCCGTTCTTCCTTTTGGCACTTATAGCGGCGCACATGACCTAGTGAAAATTCGATTGCGAAGCATTCCAGCTGAATCGCTGAACTGATGAGGTTATTCGACGTGTTCAACGTGATTCAGATTCTGTCAGCTCCATACCCCGGAGCTGGGAACATGTTTTCTCAAGACTGCCCCAAACCGGCCCGATCCTTACCGCCCGGCTTGCTGAATGTGGTGACCCAGTCCCCCAGTCCTGCAGTCTGGATCGTTTCCATGGGCCCCTTTCCAAGGTTCCAGCCATCCTCAGAAAGAACACCACCATCTACCTCAAAGACGCTGCCGTAAACGGGACTGCGGCCTACGTTGTTCCTCAAAATACTCAGGCTGGGCCTTGCATGTTGGTGCCTGAGTGCATGTGCATCGCTGTCAGGTAGATCTGCCTAGAAATATTTGCAGCGCAGCTTGGGCAGCGGTACCCGGTTTTGGCGGTGCTTTGCGCACCAGAGACGCCAGCTGGGGGCGGAAACATTTGAGTCTTCTTGCTGAGGTGGTTGGAAATGCGTGTGCCTTAGTGCGGTGATGGTCCGTGCTTCCAAGTTGGGGTAGCCTTTCTACTGCACAGCTGAGGTGGCATTGCTCCTCGGCACCCTTCTGGACATTGTTGCGCATGGGACCTGGCCGTTCACAGGAGTTTTGCAGGCAAAGGCATGTTTCTTCTGAGGGCCCGGGTGGGCTACAAGATGTTCAAGATCAGCATGGAGTGTGGTCCTCAGACGGCCTTCGTGAGTGACAGTGACACAAATTGGCTTGCAGGCTCATGCAGGATCCGTCACAGGCTGGCACCAAGGTTTGTGAAATGCGCGGATTGGAAGGGCTGCACGAAAGCCTTCCATGTCTGACGAGTTTGATCAGGGGGGCTTGGGCCAGCTGATGATGACACAGCAGGGCGGCGCAGGCCTGGATGGTGGTACTGGCTATTCATTTTCTGACCCTCCAGCTTGTTGTGGCCGTGGATGTTGATAAGATATGCAGGCCCCGGAGATGAAGGTGGCCCAGGCGGCTGCACCACGGCGAAACAATGGAGTCATCTCGTGTTGAACTTCACCTGGCTTGGCACTGCCACACGTTCTATGTTGCCCACTTTGTGCAGGGCCAAGGCCGCAGCGGCAGCAGTCCTGGGCTTAGCTCTTGCACTGCGACCCCTCGGCCGAAAACATTCCAGGCCGGCGCGGCAGCAGGGCTTTCAACCTTTCCAAGGCTCAGGTGCGTTTGTTTTCCAGTCGCGCTCGCAATGCTTTGCCTGCTCTTGTCCGGCTTGCACAGGTCAGACTCTCACGGCATGAGCCACTGCCGCACCTATTACTCCGCAGCGGCTGGGTTGGCGTGGACTTTCTCCATGCCGGGGAATCAGGAGGACATGTGCCTGTAGAGCCAAAACCGAAAGGCTGAAAGAGCCTGTGAACGGGGCCAAGCCTGCAAATCCATGGGCTGAAAGGGCACAAAGAGTGATGCTTGACAAGGCTGCAGGGCATATCGGGACATCGAAGTCTCAACGCATGTTTCAACCAGCTGCATTGACAAAGAGTGTTGGGCAAGCAAAGCAGGCTGTTAGACATTTGCTTTAAATAGCCTAATAGTGCCTAACCAGTCTCACACATGCTCCCTGCCGTAGGCTGCCCAATCAGAAGAGAGCCCATTGTACAGTCTCAGTTGCCCCTTGCACACCGCTACCGTCAGTTGGGAGCACCTTGCCGCAATTCCTGCGAAACAGGCTTGTTCGGCAAGGTGCCTTGATCAACCAGAGTCGCACAGCCAGGTTGGTCTGAAAGACTTTGCCAGCGGAGAAGCTTTCAGGGATCTTTTTCCAAGATTTGGTTCCTCACCGGAGGTGCCAAGAAGCATGTATGTGATGACAGTTTTCAGCTTGCACTTCACAACATGCAAGACTGACCACCAGCCGCGGCTCATAAGGCAAACATTGTAAACATGTCTCCGAACTCTCCGAGCACTCAATTGAAATAAAGGCTGCAAGCAAGCACCGAATCACGGTTTGGTCCGACCAGAAGGAGTTGGTCGAGTCCAGCACTTGTGTTCCTTTACTGCATCCTGGTTTCCCCCCAGGCACCGTTAGATCCGAAGGAGTAGCCCAAACTTAGAGCTTCAGAGTCACGCAGTGGGCATGTCGGGCAGCCGTGATTCCGCCCGAAGCCGAGCTCTCCAAGGGCTCTGCAGCCTGTGCGGTACCTTCCTGGTTGACCTCCGGATCTTGCTAGGGCTGTTCCTGGAGGGAAAAAGCAGTATGCAGACTTGAAAGTGTAGCTTATGCACTTGCAATGCCTTCTGCGCTCACCTCATGGACCCTGCCATCCTTTTGCCAAGGACATCATGGAGGCCCTCCGGCCAAAGTCTGTCCAGGAGCGGCAACTACAGTTGCACGCCCTGGGGTTTAACTAAAAAGATCGGCTTGCCTTACTTTCCAACATGTACGCAAGCGCTTGTCACAGATGCTTTGCAACCTTGACACTGCATGTTTGATAGGAGCTGCATGCCTCAATCGCCTCAGGCAGGCCTCAGTTCAGCAGTTGCAAGCATGCAGCAACAACAGAACGAGGAGAGTTATGTACATGACCTGTGCTTGATGCACCGTGGGCACTGGTGAATTCATGCTGCAGGCAGAAAGAAATCCCCGCCATCGATTGCGGACAAACTGAAAGAGTTTGTGGAGCAGCGGAAAGAATGCGAGGCCTCACGCCTTCGCTTTTTGAACTGGTGGGTGGTTGTCCGGTACGTCGGATTGAGAGATGATGGAAGGAGCGCTGCGTGTCCCGTTTGCGGACACGGGCAGACATGGAAGCCCAGCACCCGGACATTATTTGGGGCGCTTATGCGCAGTGTGTTGCCCATACGTTGTTAGCTGCAAAGTTTTGCCAGCGCTGCGCTGTGTTAGGCGGCCCTTCTTCCAAGCACTCCAGATCCAACAGAGGACAGCTCGCCTGAGACTCACTCGCCCATGAACGGCTGAGTTTGGATTAGCTTAGCTCTCTCTGCTTATTGGCTAAGTGCTTGTTTTGATTTGGCAGAGTGACTTGCTAGTTGTCTGATCTCACTGTCGACCGAGTGAAAGATCATTTATCAAGACTGCAGAGTCTGAGAGCTTGTCGTGATTCAAGAACGGTAGCGAGCAAAACCAGGAGCCCACCAAGCGACAGAATCCGGCAAACCAAACTGGGAAACGCAATAACTTGACACGGCTCAGAAAGAATGGCCGAGTTTATTTTCTCTACAGATGTCCTGGAATCAAACTTGTTGGAGCTTCTTGGGATCGCACTCCAGGCCGGATTCCTGGAATTGCGACGGCTATGGAGTATGGGAACTCCTTTAACAAGGATTTGTGAGACAGTACCATGACGGGTGCAACTACGACAGCTGTGGAGTATAGGGAGCTCCTGTTAAAAGGCTTTGTAGGACCACGACTGCTTAGGGAACTTCTGTTAAAAGGATTTGAGAGACAACGACAGCTATGGAGTATGGGGGAACTTCTTTACAAAGAATTTGTGCGACAGAACTTTGTTGCGACAGGTATGGAGCGTAGGGATTTTTTACGGGCTTATCACGAGCCGCTAAGCTGCCTTAGGGCCTTGACTGCACATATGCACTTACGTAAACTGCCAAAGGGGCTATAGAATCCTGTGATATTGGGCGGGTGGCATGTTGGGATGAATGCTCACGGTACCTTTCACACTTTCAGTGTTTTGGCCTTTTTCCGCGTGCCAAAAGTTGGTGGCACAAGTGTGGGTGTTCTGGCGGTCTTGCTTTTGTCTTTGGCCATACACGTTTGGCACCCATGCTGATTGCGCTTTTGGGCCTCGTCAGAGGCTCCTTTCAACTCGTTGCGGTGAGATGAGACAGGTTTACTTCAAAAAGGCGCCACACAGTTCTGCCACACGCACCGTCCCCCGCAGGATGTCAGATCTCAGGCCAGGGCCTCGTTGCCAGTCGGCCGCGTTATCCCCTGGTCATGGGAACATCAGCGAATCAGCTGAGCGGCACCAGGCTAGGCTGAGCTGACATTGCCCAAGGTAGTTGCCGGGGTGCGGCAGCGCTTCTCCGCTTTGGAAGGGCAATGCTCCGTACTGTGTGGGAAAAGGACGCCAGCTCAGCCAGCCGTTCGAAATGCAAGTCAGACTGATTAGTACTGCGCTGCCCCAAGGCTGTCGCACTTGGTTGGCGGTTCTTGGCTCAGCGTGTCTATCCCATGGAGCTTTTCCAAGCCATCATGTCCTGTAAAGCCAGGGGAAGTAGGACTTCGACAGCCCAGGTTAGATGCGCGCTGCATCCCCTGCCTTGAGCGGCCAGTAGGTGTAGATGAGTGATGTTGCTCAGCAAATGAGCCTTAGCCAAGCCATCCAAATCGCAGTTTGCGCCATGAGCCGATGCTGACGCTGCCTAGCAAGGATGTTGTCATGTTGGTGCAAGTGCGCACGCCATCTTGCCAATGCAAGCTCGCTGAGCAGAGAGATCACAGTAGCCGTGGTTAGGCAGCAAACACGTGCAACATAGCACAAGCAACTCCACACACCACAGCCGGCTTTGCCCAATATTGCCATATGTGCAGCCGTCATCCAACAGTGCAGGGATAGTCATGGAGGTAATCATGGCCTTGCGGCAGTTCCCTCGTGTGAGCACTGCGTGCCGCAATGCCTCACACTTGCGGCGCTGCTAGTCATGCACAATGGCCTTGCCCACAGATACTTGGCTATGACTTTGAATAGGGGAACTAGCTCAAAAGTGGTTGGTGGGCATGAATCCCCTGCCCGCTGCCAACTTCTTTGGCCGACCGCTGGCATATGCAGGTGGTGATTTTGCCCACCCTCACATTTATGTTTGCCCTCAATTCATATTTGCTTATTTCCCTGAAGCTTTTACTTGACGGTACCCTTGCCATTTACGCATTCCTTTCCCAGTGTCGCTTCCCCTACTCCCTTCACAGTGGCTGCGCTGCATCCCATCTGGCCCGCTCTCCCACCAGTCCCACTTGTGCGAATCATGGCTCTTAGTTGTTCTCCCATCATTTCCTGTGGCAGGGGTCCATGGTTACCTTGGGATGCCACGCTTGCAAGGCTGGCATGCTTGTTGGCCAAGCTGCTCAGGCTTTTTTCAAGCCAAAGCCAAAGCTAGCAAATCTCATGCTTGGTTTGGGGAGCCGAGTCCGCAACCCAGCTTACATTTTCACCGAGCCAGAGGCAATTGAGCAACACACGCGAGAAGTCCACACTATAAGATTACCGCGAGAAGGTTCAAGAGCTTCCGGTCGGAAGCTGACAAGGTGAGGCCCCAATCCCCCAAAATGAGATACCTGATTCGCCAAGACATGTCCAAGAATCACCTCGAGTCCCGGTCAGAAACTAGCAAGATGAAGAAACTTCGGGTTCGGGAGCAAACAACGCCAAGCAAACTAGAGCAAGCAGGTAAATACCAAAACCAGGTCAGCATGAAATGAAGGCAAGAAGAGACGAAAGCAATGGCACGCCTCAGACCACTCTTAGAGGAAGACAACAAGCTTCAGCTTTGCAAGATCCAGCGTAGGAAGAGAAAGTGCTGCAGAGATAGTGCAGAGAAACAATGCTTAAGCTCCCAACAGGACCATTTGACGAGATGTTGGTTGTTCCTGTTTCTTCGATCAGTTTTCTGGATGTTCAAATCTTCACGTCAAGAACAGTCCAGGATGTTCCGAAGTTTCCGGGTCTTGGTTTTGAGAGAGGTGCAAGCAGCCAGCTTCCGAACACTTGTTAAGCCTTGGTAAGCTGCATTTAGGCCGGCCGAGCTTTGTGGGCTGCCAAGCTTTGTGGGAACCCTGTAAGGACTCATGATTGGGTTGTGTTTGTGTGGTCCCGGTATTTTCAAGTTGTCGCGCCTTCACCGGCACATTGCTTTCGGCCCAAGGGAGCCGCGAAGAACAAGCAGCATCACTTTCTGCTTGGCCTCACAGACATCGTCTTGGAGGCCTGACGCGCTTATCGGTTGGCATTTTTGTTCGGCACCTTGGTATCCCCTTTCAAAGGTGGCATGAGACAGCACCGTTCAAAAGGAGGCCCTGTTTCTGACAGCCCCCACGTGAATCGATGATGGCTGTGCTTGTGGAGGCACGAAACAGGGCGCGGACTTTGGCAGCTGCGCAGGAACTGGGGCTGAAGCATCGAGCAGCGTGCTAGGGAGGCTTTGAAGATGACGTTTTGGGCTTTAAAGTGTGGGGGTGACGTTGAAAGAGAAATATAGGGAACCCTGTCCAGCTCAGCTGTTCGAGCCTTTCTTCAGGACCATGAGGAGGTAGAGGAACCTGTGTCTGGCTTGAGGCCAGGCGGCGGCAGAACAGCACACCCTCGCAGGCTGAATGTGGTTGTGCGTGTAAGGCGGAGGCGGTCAATTGCAGCTAGTGGCTGGGAAACACCTAGCCACGATGAAGGGCAAAGTGCCGCTTGGCAACATTCAAGCCATCAAACATCCGGCCTTGCCCTCCAGAGCACGGTGCAGGCCTCCGCCCGCCACACCCTTCCCCAAAATCGTGCGTGTGCGTACGCTCAGGCTGTGAAAGCTTGGATCATTTGAGGCATACAGGCTCCCAAAGCCAGTCATCATATCAAGCGTTGGCTACTCCCTGCATTTTGTCCAGCCTTTGGGGCGTTTGCCTCAGCTTTTGGGACCGTCTTCTTTTTTGGTTCGGATGATTCAGCCGGGGTTTGGTTTTGGCTCCTCTTTATTTTGAGCCGTGTGGCCTGCAGGCAAATGGTGAGCTGGATTCGCGCATTGGGATGGCCCCTGCATTCCCAAAAAAGGAGCAGGGTTGCTCAAGAACATCCCCAGCAACACCTTCGAGGGTCTAGTCTGTGAGTGTGCGTGTGTGGGTTTGGTCATTTGGGATTTGGGGTGTATATAATATATTATATATATACATAATATGTGTGTGTGTGTGGGTATATTTGTGTGTGGGTGCGTGTGCTTGCTGGGGCAATGTGCAGTGTTTTGGGACGTGGCCGTCCGCATCCCCAACATGTTCAGTCCTGGCATCAGATGATACCGCGCCCGTATTCTGCGCAAGCTGGATCGCCACCCCAAAGTGCACGAACAACCCACAAGATTGCATCGTCATGTAGGTACACAAAGTGTATGCCTGCAGGCAGGCACTCCAGAAAAACAATTTAGTGGTTTGCCTCTCAAGCAGTTTGCTGAGGCCAAGCTAGATCAGCTTCGTACAAGGTTACAGAATGTTACGAACATTTGTGGGAGAACGGTCGGTTTGGCTTTGTTTGGCCAGAGAGCTGGATGTTGAGACCAAGTCCTGTAAGGAAGCCACCAGAGCATGCAATTGGGGAGGGGAAGCTTGTATCGAGATCATTGGTGATCGTCGGCATCTAACTGTCTTGCATGTGGGCCACAGTGCGGCTGGCGCTTCAATTGGATGACAGCAAATCTAACTTTCCCCTGCCAAGGACATGCAGGACGAAAGTGCGAGCGTGTGTCCTGGTTGCATCGTGTTGCCAACCGTTGCAATCAAGCACCGAGCTGTCAGGGAAGAATCTTCTGATGTGATAGCACTGTGGTCAGCTGCGGGGAGCTCAAAGCTGTGGCTGCGGACGCTGGAGCAGCTATCAGCGCTAATGAGAGGCAACCGACGCCTTGGCGATTTCACGGGCAGCCTTGCAAAGCACGCTGCTCAGAAATTGGGGCAATTGCAGGTACCCGCAGTTGGCTTTTGAGGCTTAGATTCCGAGAAACCTACGGGCAATTCTCAGGAAAGCGTCGTTTATGGTGGTATGTGGCAGATTTTCTGTTGAATTTGCTGGTTTCCTAGATTTAAGTTTCCAAGGCCAAAGCCTCCAATTGGCCGTTCTTGCCTGGCGAAGTGCCGTCAATGATGCGAAAGCAAGCATGAAGCTTGAGGCAGGGATTGGAATGCCAGGTCTCAGCAGAGCAACCGCGGATACGAATGAACAAAATCCGGGAGTTTATCAGTAAACCATTTGTCCAAGTGATTATTCATTCGAGTTCATCCATCCTTCCTGGTGCAGGATTTGTCCATGCACAGTATGTCATCCATCAAAGCGCATCTATTGTTTTTGCGTGTTTGTTGCGTCATAAGGGTTCTGCATACCAGCAGTGGATTCAACAGAGCATTGTCTGAAGGCATTTGACTTGGCGCGTTATGCATGCCTGCGTTCTATTTTGACAGGCTTTCCGGCAAGTTTTACGCAGCGCTGCGACCATGGCAGCGCGCAGCTCAGCAAGTCGATCAGAACAGCTAGGGTGCCGTCTTTGCATGTACTTGTTTGTTCGGTGTAGGCTGCATGCGAGCAACCTACTGTAATGTGCCAGAAACCGATTGGAGTTGTGTGGCATTGCCGGCGCACTCAGGAGCTGGGAAGCGTGCTTTCCGGATGGCGGCAGCATGTACAAATCACGCGGCAGACGGAGCGACATTTGGCCAAGCGTCAGGCGCTCCAATGTGACCCAGTGTTTTGGTTGATTCATTTTCCTCAGAAATGGGTACATTGTTAGACGCAGTTTAAGGTCTCCGAAGTGTGAGCTGTGAACCAGCTTGTTCCACGTGCCTTTGACAGGCGCTCGCGCACACCTTCTTGCTTTCGACCGTGTTGCACGCTCCGGCCCCAAGCAATCGATGGCAATGGCGTGCCATGCGCATGGCGCACCATGCCATGGTTCAGGCGTGGGCATCCACTCCGTCCATCTCAGCACGCCCGGCCATGCCCCAATCGACGGAGTGAGCAAGCATTCACTGCCATGCATCGAAGGCTCCCATACAGAGAGCGCCTTCCTCGGCAAGGCTGGCGTCCTGCCAGTGACACGGAAAGTGACTCTCTTCGTGTTGAAGGCCACTTATCAGCCCCTTTGTGTTCCGAGGCTGGACTGTGAATCTCCGTCACTGGCAATCGCTGTGTTCACAAGTAGCTGTTGACTAGAGCTTTGTAATACGACATGACTCAGTCAGCTGGGGGGTTCTTTTCATGCTCGAGGGCTGCCGGGTGTCGGAGCGGGTACGTTGCGTACTATGCGTGCATAACCTCCAGATGGGCTGTCCAAGGGAATGTATTTTTGGGGCAAACGGGGCGGATTCCGAATTCAACCAGGTTTGTTGCTGCGGAATTGCTGGAGTGCCTGGTGCCAAGGTCCAAAGCGCACGTGTTCCTTTCATTCTGATGATGTTGAGAAATGTTGACGGTCCGGCGCCAGGTCATCTTGCAGGGCCAAAGGTTGCTGAATGTATGGATCGGAAGTCCAAGAGGCGTAGTGCCCGGCTCTCAGCCGAGTGGTGGTTTTAATGCTTAAGATAAAATGCCTAGAGGCCAACATGCATGAACAAGAAGGCTACAGAGGTTTTGTTGAACCAGGAGCTCGCAGAAGGGATTTGTTGTTGGCTATTCAAGGAAGATCTTGAATGATAATATGCCCTTGCGGTTGCTTTGGCAGCGTGAAAAGGCACAACAAGCTGCACAGCTCTTATTTCTCAGAGGGGTGTTTTATCCCAACAATTGCCAACTTGGGATTTTCCCAAAGGACCATGCTAGTCTGGGGAAGCCCCTTTAAATGAGATGATTCCCCTCGAACAAGGGAGCCTCTGAGTGGCAATGCCAGTTGGATGAAAAACAATTAGATGTGTGTTTGGGCAAAGAAAGACGCAGCAATTGAGCTGGCAAGCAGCGTGGAAGATGCGCCAGCAAGTATTTCATGAATTGACTTGTTCGTTTTCGAGCCTCGGCTCATCCTCGGCTCCTCGTTTTCGTCCTCGGTGTCCTTGCCGTGCCAGCCTTGCAGCCCGTCTCCAGCAAAGCAAGAAGAGTTGCAAGCAGCGCTTAGTGGTTCCGGTGGTTTTCGCTGACAACCTTCCACAAATTGCTGTAACAACTTCCGAAGTGGAAGGCGGCGGAAGCACTTATGTAGATGCTGCGCGGAAAGTACCCTCCGCACGTCCCAGTCCTTTGCATATCTGAGCGCATTGATGCACCTGTGAGGTGCAACGTGTGCTTCATGCTTGGCGACTGTTTTGCTGCGCAGACACTGCACGGAAGGCGCAAGCAAGCTTCACATCTCAGTTTCAAGGCCAACCCACGGGCCTGGTGTTTTGGGAGGCTCGCGCATACACAAAGACGGCTTCAACTGCATTCACCGCGAGGGTCTCAACAGTGGCGTGCTTGGCCTTCAATAGGGGCACAATCTGAAAGCTGGCAGGGTTGCTCTGTCCTGGGCGCTTCACAGATATTATATGTTTTTCTGTGCGCAGGGCTGGCGGCTTGCTTGCTTGGCCTCCAGACTTGGACGGAGCATGCGGAGCGCGCTGCCAGCAAGGTTAAGCCTGTCCTCCAGCATTGCTTGTGTTTGCTTTTGGATGAAACGTTAGTTCATGCACAGCAGGCCACGGCGGACGCGCGGCAGCTGCATGCCGGAGAGCAGGCTGGCTTCCAGCATTACTGTCTTGCCAATGTTGACAATTGCACCTGTCCTTTAGGACCATAGGCACAGAAGAAGCAAGAAACATATTGACTCTTTGCTTGCAGCTCACGGCGCGCAGGTCCTGTCCGTGGTGTGGAGACACTGGAGTACATCGGCCAAAGTCAGCCGAGCGCCAGCGAATCCAGGGGACGAGAAGGCTGCCGCTTAGCGCATTTGGCAATTGCATGAGTTGGGCGCCTTTGCAGGATCAGTTTGCTGTTTGGCTGTTTGTGGCTGCCGCATGTAGTTTTTGCTGTTACTTGCGTGGCTACGCAATGCTCGCAAATGAGCTAGGAAGCGGATGCAGCACTTTTGCTGGCCTCTGTGTTTTCAGAGGCGGCCTCAGATGTTCCGAACTTCAGGTGTTGCTAGTTTGGCGCCGGGGGGCGAAAACCTATCAGAACAACAAAAAGATGGCACGTGGGCTTGCTTGTGGAAGCCAGCTCCTGCAAGCTGAGTTGTTCAATGTTGCAAACGCTTGCAGATTCTGATGTGCTTCAGACATTTTCTGAGGGCTGGAAGCTGGCTTGCTGCGCATCCAGATTTCTGCAAAAGCTCAACGAGGTCATGCCGATTCATCTCTTGGGACAGAGTGAATGAAACATGCACGTCCCATCAAAGTCAAATCATGAGCAGTGAGTTGGATGTGTGTGTTTTTACAGTGGTCGCTGTTGCTTTGCGTAGTTGTGTTGACCTTTTCACTGCTGAATGCTCCTTAGCCGCTCCATGTGGAGGCCACAGCAGACGCGCGGCAACTGCGTGCCGGAGAGCAGGTTGGGATTGAACGTTGATGACTTGCCAATGTTGACAATGGCACCTGTCCTCGTCATTGCTTGCAGCCGTGGCACAGCATCATGGCATGTAGGTGCTGGCCACATCGGCCAAAGTCAGCCGAGCGCCAGCGAATCCAGGGGACGAGAAGGCTGCCGCTTAGCGCATTTGGCAATTGCATGAGTTGGGCGCCTTTGCAGGATCAGTTTGCTGTTTGGCTGTTTGTGGCTGCCGCATGTAGTTTTTGCTATTACTTGCGTGGCTACGCAATGTTCGCAAATGAGCTAGGAAGCGGATGCAGCACTTTTGCTGGCCTCTGTGTTTTCAGAGGCGGCCTCAGATGTTCCGAACTTCGGGTGTTGCTAGTTTGGCGCTGGGGGGCGAAAACCTATCAGAACAACAAAAAGATGGCACATGGGCTTGCTTGTGGAAGCCAGCTCCTGCAAGCTGAGTTGTTCAATGTTGCAAACGCTTGCAGATTCTGATGTGCTTCAGACATTTTCTGAGGGCTGGAAGCTGGCTTGCTGCGCATCCAGATTTCTGCAAAAGCTCAACGAGGTCATGCCGATTCATCTCTTGGGACAGAGTGAATGAAACATGCACGTCCCATCAAAGTCAAATCATGAGCAGTGAGCTGGATGTGTGTGTTTTTACTGTGGTCGCAGTTGCCTTCCGATTGTGGTGTTGCTTTGCGTGGTTGTGTTGACCTTTTCACTGCTGAATGCTCCTTAGCCGCTCCATGTGGAGGCCACAGCAGACGCGCGGCAGCTGCATGCCGGAGAGCAGGTTGGGATTGAACGTTGATGACTTGCCAATGTTGACAATGGCACCTGTCCTCTAGGACCATAGGCACAGAAGAAGCAAATAATATATTGACTCTTTGCTTGCAGCTCACGGCGCGCAGGTCCTGTCCGTGGTGTGGAGACACTGGAGTACATCGGCCAAAGTCAGCCGAGCGCCAGCGAATCCAGGGGACGAGAAGGCTGCCGCTTAGCGCATTTGGCAATTGCATGAGTTGGGCGCCTTTGCAGGATCAGTTTGCTGTTTGGCTGTTTGTGGCTGCCGCATGTGGTTTTCTTGTCACTTACGCGGCTACGCAATGTTCGCGAATGTGGTAGGAAGCGGATGCAGCACTTTTGCTGGCCTCTGTGTTTTCAGAGGCGGCCTCAGATGTTTCGAACTTCACGGAAACCTCGCAGAAGACAACAGAAGCACGGCACGGGGGCTTGCTTGTGGAAGCCAAATCGCGTAAGCTGAGTCATTCAAAGCTGCAAATGCTTGCAGATCCTGATGTGCTTCAGACATTTTCTGAGGGCTGGAAGCTGGCTTGCTGCGCATCCAGATTTCTACAAAAGCTCAACGAGGTCATGCCGATTTATCCCTTGGGACGGAGTGAATGAAACACGCACGTCCCATCAAAGTCAAATCATGAGCAGTGAGTTGGATGTGTTTTTTTACTGTGGTCGCAGTTGCTTTCCCATTTTGGTGGCGCTTTGCGTGGTTGTGTTGACCTTTTCGCTGCTGAATGCTCCTTAGCCGCTCCATGTGGAGGCCACAGCAGACGCGCGGCAGCTGCATGCCGGAGAGCAGGTTGGGATTGAACATTTATGACTTTCCAATGTTGACCACGACACCTGTCCTCGCGGAACCAGGAAAATACACAGATTAGCTTTTTGTTCGCACGCGAAAATGCTTCATGGCATGGAGGTCCTGTCGGTGGTGTGGAGACACTGGAGTACATCGGCCAAAGTCAGCCGAGCGCCAGCGAATCCAGCGGACAAGAAGGCTTTGGCATTTTCGACTTAGCGGCAAGAGTTGCTCAAGGCTTCTAGGCGTACCAATACGAGTTGCTACCATGGATTTTCTGTTTGCGACGTTTGCAATTCGGTTTTCTAGATAGTTGGATCCGGATGAGTGCTGAAAGGAGATGGATGGAAGCATTAAATTTGAACCATGCAGGCTCTCGAAACGCCAGTAATCTCTGCAGTGGCCTTGCTCGCCGCCTGGCACTTGGACATGCCCCATGTGGGTGAGTTGCGGCTGGACAACGCCAGGCCTGGCGACTATGTTCCATATCTGCTACAAAGCACCGGGAATTAGTCCAATGCCAAGCCAATGCTGCTTGCAAGTTTGGCATTGCCTGACAAAACTGGTCGACATCTCGGGTGGACGCACCAAGGTTGCTGCGAGCTTGGCGGTCCAACTCAACAAGAACCGACTCACACAGGTCGGCCAATCAGCCGGCCAGTTCATTTCAACGTACGCCTTTGTCGCAAGCACCGCAGGCCATGGCTGCATGGCAGACGTGGCGCACAACCTGCAAGTTCAAGGGCTTGCGAAACCAGGCTGGTGTCGACGAAATGCGTCATGGCCTTTTTCCAAGTTCAATCCGGCCGCTCCGGACCAAGACAGGCAGGCAGGAAGGGCAGAAAAGAAGCAGCTACATCTTGGCCTCTTCGTCTGACGGGTGGGGGTCTCTTTGTATTGGGCCGCTCCGGGGTAGCGGGCCGCGCTTCGAGCTGAGCGGCAGGCGGTCGGCCGGCTGGGCTTCCGTGGGCCCGTGCGGGGCACGTCAACCGTTCGGGTGCGCTGGGCGGGGTTCTGCAAGGGGCGCTGATCTGTACTGGCTCCAAGGGTCTGGCGTGGCTGTTGCCCAGTTGCCGGCGAGCAACTTGTTCCTCTTATGCCAAGTTGTGCTTTGTTGCAAGCAAGTCTTGATTTCAATCCCGGCTTGGACTGGAGGACGCTAACTATTGAGTCAAATTGACAAGTCTTTACTGGGGGGATCTTGAACCCCCTCCCCAGATATTCGGATCGACGCCGCCGCCGCTGCGCACGACGCCTCATCACCTGAGTCTTATGTTGTTCGCTTTGGTTTTTGTTTTTTTCTCAGCTCATGTTGGCAGCTTCTTGCTGTTTTACATTGTTTAGCTTTTCCAAGCTCTTTCATGATGTGCCAACATTATCACTTTCTTGTGCTTTGCCTTCTCTTTTCGCTCGAGCACCTTCGTCACGACGTTCTTTGCACAAAATCTTGCAATTTGTTTCAGCTTCGGTCAGTCAGTTCTCGCGGCCAAGCCCAGGCCAAATTTATGACTCACAGCTATCTCTAATCGTACCCGGGACAAATCCCGAATCCTGCATGTAATGCCACCGCAAACCGCTCAGAAAACAAATTCTTACTCCCTTCCTTAGTGTGCAGGTGTTTCATTTGCTTGGTGCGTAGTGGCTTGGCTCCCTACTTTCTGGGCCAGCAATTCAAAGCGCCTTGTGAAGGTCTTCGAGAAGGTTGCTGCTGCTTTGGACCAGTCGCAGACAAGAGAGCAGGCCTTTCGTTTTGGGACGGAAGGTGCTTTTTGTCCATTGCTGTGTGTGGATGTGGCGAGTTCCATCGCCAGGTGCTTAGGCTTGTATGGGGCAACTGGCTTCAACTTTGCCGTCAGAACAGGCAACGAATGCAGGCAAGCAAGATGCGAGTTGGGCGAGTTCTGTGAAGTTCTGTGAGTATGAATTGCTGGCTCGGAACATTTCTGGAAAGGCGATGCGAGGCTGCCAGTCAATTGCAGCTTTGGTTGATCGCGCGGCCCTCACAAAGTGCAAGAGAGAGGCCAAGCCTCACTGCAAGCTGCAAGGTGTTGACCATGGTTTTTTGCGACTCGTGTGGTGCCTTGGAGTGAAGATTTGCAGTCAAGTAAAATTTCACGAGAGCTCCCGTTTCAAGGTGCATGTGGGCGGGTTACCTTGACCTGGCGGCTCGGTTGGCCAGAAGCGGCTCAAAGGCGCTCGGGTTTACACCTCCGACTGGTGCAGTGTGACATGCAAAGCATGTACAGCAACTTCAAAGGCAGGGCAGGCTGATATCAAATAATGCAGGGTTCGCTCCAAGGCCTAGGTGAAGCTACGAACCTCTAACAAAGCCGGACAGGCTTCAGGCATGCTTGGGAGATTTCTGAAAGCCAATCTTCCCAAAGGCTTTTGACTCGCTTGGAGTGACTAGATCTGCTTGCCGAATGTGCTGTCATTCCGCATTGGCAAAGTGGACTGTTGCCCAGAGGGCCATCAACTGCGCCACGCAAACAAAGAAAGAAAAACCGGAAGCGTTGTTCCTCAAGACTGCAACCTTGCATGACAGGTCACGTCCTTGCTCAACAGTTTTCGGCGGTCTCAAACTCTCTTGACTGAGCCTCAGATTTGTTGCATGATTCATTCGACTCTGGTCACCGTGTTTTGAAAGTTGCGGCGCCTGCATCTACTGCAGCTGGGCGAGGCACACCTTGCTGAATTGGCGAGCGGTGGCCAGCGTGGCGAAGGCAGCCGAGCATTGGCCACGAGTCGTGCACTTTTGTGAGCCAGGTCAAGGCTGCAGCACAGTCACTGCAATTTGGAAGGTGCCAAGCGTGACACAAGTAGCGGAGGTGTGACATGCACGGCAGGTTGGGAGCAGGCGAACGATGGATACATGCCTTGGAACGGGCCGACGTTTGCCAGTTGCTTTTGGCTTGGCGCTTCTTGACTGCATTGCTTGTGCACCGGTGGCTTGGGCACAATCCTCTAGCATTGCTCGCCTTGCGCTCAGGTTCTGTGCATGCCCAGCATCTTCTGTATGTTTGCACCTCAGCTTGTTTGTCCAAGCATCAAGCGAATTCATTCTGGCTGAGGAGAGGTTGCAGAAGCCACTTGGAATGCATGCCCTGTTGAGCACGGTGCGCCTGAATTTGCCACCACTGTAGCTTCTGACTTGGTGGCAGGGCAATGTGCTGTTACATAAGGGGAGAACATGGCCAATGGCGCCCCTACCAGAAAGTTCTCAGAACCCTTCTAAGATTTGAGAAGGTTCTAAGGATTTTGCCTGGGGGGTGAGGAAAGCAGTGGCCTCAGCTTTGTCAGAATGGCGCGCCATGCATTCGTCGGGCAAGGCTATTTGGCATCAAGCAGCGGCAAGCTGCCGATCGTTCCAGACGTCGAGCAGACTGGAGCTTGGAGGCAGCAGATGCAACGCATTTAGCACGTTGGCACTTGCTCAGGAGCGCTCTTTCCGTGCAGCTTCCACTACTGTACTGCGGAGCATTGACCTCATTGCCCGTTTCATGCTTGTGTTGGTTGCCGGCTTTGCGTTCTGCTGTAGTGGCCTGCACAGGGAGGGACACTGGATATCACTGGATTGCCAGAGCAGGATGTAGGAGAATGACGCGATTGATGAGCTAAGGCCGCCGCGACACCCGCTACTTTCAGATGTTCTGGGCATGGCGTGAGGCTGCCCGAGAAGGGCGAGTGGAGGAGCAGTTGGAGAGTCTCAAGGCAACGGGAGCTGGGCATTGCTGTTCCCATTCCTGGCATTACATTGCCTACGCTCAATGCCCGGGCAGGCACAGATGGTTCAGGCAGCCATCTCCTGTCGCACAAGCATTTTCGAGGCTGGAAGGGCACATGGTGAGCGCGGATTGGCCCGCATTGTTTTGGAAGTGTGGTGCTGCCGGCTGAAGGCTGCCTTACTGGCAATGGCAAGGTGGCCCCCTCGGCGCTCGCAAAACGATATTTGACCAAAGCTTTGCTCGGCCGAGGTCCAATGTTGCATCAGAAGGCCACGCTCCCATAGACCTTGAGCTCTTGCAAAAGGTGCTTTGTAGGGGGCAGCTACCGTCAAATGCACCTGGATTACTTACAAGGGGTTTGCTACAATTTTAACGGAGCTTTTGGGCGACATCGGCCGTGCTGTTCTTGAATACAAGCTGGTCGTAACAATTCAGTTGCATCAGTCATGCGAGATGGGGTGCCCTGCCAGGCCTGTTGCTACGACTTTCTTGGTGCAGTTGGCATCGTGGCCTCGCAGGACTGGACAACATGTTTTTGACATGAGTTATGAGCAGCTGCTGACTTCCCATGATGCACACAGCTGTGTACTGTTTCGCTGGCACGATTGACTCCGCGGCAGGGATGCGGCTACATCGTTCGGAGATTCTGTTTCGATGCCTTTCCACGACGCTTGGAATGTATTCTTGCAGGGCTTCTGCCGGGCACCCAGCAAGGTGTTAAGCTGGCCGTGGCATGCGTGGAGAGTTGCTTTGACGAATTTGCAATGGGCTTGTAGCTCAGTCAACGCAGGTCTGCGCCATTTTGACCGCCTGGCGGCTGCATTGTTGCAACTTGGCGCAGCCTGTCCATCACTCAGACACGGAACCCTTGCTTGCCGTTTGCAAACATGACGGCTCAAAGAGCGAGTCAGGTTCGGGCCTCAAGAGGGGAAGCCAAAGCTTACTTCCTGCTTTGGAAGGCCGGCTGCGCTTTAGGTCCTTCGGCTTTAGAATTTCCAAGTAGCCAGCCAGCATGTGGCGCCAGGCGTCGGTGCATGGGGCTCTGAGCAGAGAGTCAGAGGACTCTTGCAACATGCAAGAAATTTCTTTGCAAGAATGACAAGCACAGTTCCATTTCAAGGACAATCGGCTTCCACTTTGGTACTTTCTCGCCGCATGGAAGTTGGGAACCCGCAGCCAGGCACCCCAAAGAGTGGTTCCAGCAATCAAATTGACGAAACGGCAGGCAGTCCAGCGGCAGCTCCAAGATGGCATCTCCCTAGCAGCCGCATGCACATCTGCAGCATTGCAGTGCCAAGCTCAGCACTTATTGCGTTTTCCACGCCAGGCCACTTAACTTGGAAAGTTTGACTTGTTCTTTCACAGGCAGGGGTACATCGTGCTCCTGCAGCGGGTTTGGGATGCCTGGATTGTGCAGGCTTTGCAGTGAAAGCTTGCAGCAGACCTGCGCCTGCAGTGCAAGTTTGTTTGATATGATAGGCTGTGCCGCCTTTGCTGGTGCCAGCGCCTGCTTGTGCGCCGCTGACGATCTTGAGAAGGGCATGGTTCAGAGAGGACTTTGCTGACTTGCTGCAACGCACTGGCACCTGGTACTGTGTGGCATACCTATGGTGAAGTCTTGATGCGAACATCAGTGTGAGGACGTGAAGCAGCTGCAAGCTGCGCTGCTTGCCTGGCAGATGGTGGTCATGGCAGGGGTCCAAGCAGGAACAGCTTTGTAGTTTGCAACGTGATGTATTTATCAACCATGTAAACCCCAATGCATGCATGTCTCACTTGTGCAGTCTCATCATTACGACTGCACGTGGCTCAAGGAAAAAGCGCGCTGAGTACAGGGTCCAATTGTGACCCTTCCCGGTTGTTTAACCTGTTCTATAGGTTATCAGCCGTAAGCGGCTCTTTGTACAGAGTTGTACGCCATGGATGGCGACCCTGGACTACCCCATACCGAGGTGCGTCCCACACCTGATGAGCCCGCAGGCGATGAAGACGCCTCGCAATATGAACCGACTAGTCGAGCAAACTCCCAAGTGGCCAGGGAGCTCATCAGGAAGGGACAAGCACTGAGCAGTCAGGGCCCCGAATCACTTCGATCCCGGAGTGACCGGGGGAGGGCTGGGCGGTCTGGTGCTCGATCTCCTTCTCCTGTAGGATCAGATCGGCATCGGCATGGTGACATCGTCATGTACGACCCCCAGACCGACCTCGCAAGGGGAAACCCTATGCCACAGTCCATGAATCAGTTCAACCAACATGTTGCGAACGTCCACCTCGATCCATCGATGACGATCAACCAGGACGTGACGAATTATCAGCAGATCAACGCTACCCAGAACAATGCCCAATTCAACCAGTTCGTGAATCAGGACACCGGTCCCATGGTCGCCCAGATGGCGGAGGCAAGGCATGGTGAGATCATTGCCGGTCTCCAAAGCCAGTCGGAGGCCATGAGACGCGAGATTCAGATGAATGCGGAGCAGCGTGCGAACACCATGAAGTCAGAAAGAGAAGCCGAGATGAAGTACCAGAACGCCATGAACACGATCAGCGAGCAGGAGAAGCAGATCAGAGAGCTAAGGGCTATGGTCGAGCAGATGGTGCAGAATCAACAGCAACCGCCTGCTCAACCTGCTCCAGCCCCTGCGCCTCCTGTTCAGCAGGCACCAGCTACCCCCTTGGCCATCCCGACAGTTCCTTTGGCTGCATCTCCACCCGGACTTTCGAATGCTTCCTCGCACAGTTGGACGAAAGTCGGGAACGACCCCTACGGCAAAGACGGATCCGTTCCCGCCGGGGCCGTGGACGATGCTGCTACCGGAGACGGTTGGCCTTGCGATGATGGTGATGGTGGAAATGACAAGGACAAGAAAAAGAAGAAGAAGAAGAAAAAGAAGAAGGACCGTAGCCGACGCCGGCGACGAGATCCGTCGTCTTCTCCCTCGTCATCTTCATCATCAACTTCAACTGCATCGGATGAATCTTTTCGACGAAAGCTACTGAAGCACTTAGGTAATTCGAGCGATCCGACAGCGGAACGCGTTCGTGTAAAGGAGGGTGACAGAATTCAGATTCCCCGATTCCCGAAGCCCGAACAGTACCGTAATTGGAGGATCAAAGTTAGGGATGCTGTTGTTGCTACTTCCGATCAACCCGAAAAGGCATTCGAATGGATTGAGGCAACTTGGATCCCAGGTCAAACTGTTGAAGTCCTTCGTGATTCAGGAATGTTTGTCCATCTTGATGCAAAGCTGGCATCGGCGTTGACGAATATCTTGGAGGGCGACCTCGCGCGGCAAGTGGACATTTTCAAAGAACAAGAAGCAAAGGAGAAACGCTATGCGAGGGGGCGCCAAATTCTTCTGATGGTTCACAAGCACTTCAGCACGAACATCAAACATGGTGCAATTTACGACTTTGAGGACTTGCTCTCTGTCCAGCTCATCAACGAGGACCTCAGAAATTTCATGACGAGATGGGACACGGTCATCGCTGGAATGGGCAATGAGCAAAATGAGAAGACCCTCGAAGCGCTGTTCCACCGCCAGATTCGAAAGTTTCGGCCCCTCAGTCATGATCTCAATGAGTATGAGCGAGCTGAGGAAGGTACGGAAAAGCACTCCTATAAATTCTTGATTGACGCATCGAGGAATTATTTGGAGCGCAAGAGGCTTGTTCACATGCGGGATGCTATGTCAAGCAACACAACGGGGCGTGGCAGGACTCCATCGAACAACCCTGCAGTTCCTGGAATCCCCAAGGGTGTATGCATCAAATTTCAAACTGGCCAGTGCACCTATGGTTCAGACTGCCGATTCGAACATGTTAAGGCACCGAAAGGTAAGGGGAAAGGCAAGAAGGGCGGGTCCAGACCCCAGACGCCAAGGAAGTATCGTTCGCAGAGCCCTCCTGGTTCGAAACCCCAGGTGTGCAAGTTCTTCAAAGCGAACAGATGTGAGAGAGGGAAGGATTGCCCATGGCAGCACCCCGCAACTTCCAAGGCAGCTCCAGCCCCAAAGGCCGAGAAGACCGCTAGTGGAGACACCCCCAAGACGTCGCCAAGGGACAAGAAAAAGAAAAAGGGGAAGAAGGATAGCAGGCCTTCTTCTCAAGATTCGAAAGATTCAAAGGGTTCTCAGTCCCTCAAGTCTCCGCGATCGTCAAAAGGCAGCAATGCTGCGGTGTGCCTCCTCCAGGCGATGGTGTGCGCCGCGACCCTCGACTCGGTCGCCTCGCATCCTTGCTTGCCTAGTGTGACTCACGATGTTTTCCAGTGTATGCCATGCATCAAGAAATGCGTGCAATTTTCTGATTACCCATCCATTTCGAACTATGAGACTGACGGCGAGCTTTGGCCCTACACTGCCTCGTCGAGAAGGTTTGCACACGAGTTTCCTGTTGATTATGTTCCGAAGTTCGATGAGAGAGCCGTCTCTGACGCAATTCTTATCGGCACCATGCATGAAGCTATGATGAAGGATTTGCTCAAAGGCACGAAGACTCCTTGCAAATTTCAATGCGACTCTGATTTCGGCTGTGATTCCTGCATCCCCGCAGGCCTAACGGCCGAGCCAGAGAAGTCCGTGACCTCCCCCAAAAAGGGGAAAGCTGCTGTTGCTCGAATGACAATGGATTCTTCTCACATTCCGTGGATCGCAGATACAGGAGCTTCTCAGGACTTGCTAGCGGGAACCGATGCGGAGATGGGATGTATTTACGAGTCGTCTCAGCCTCTGAAATTTTCCACAGCTAATGGGAATATCATCGGTACAAAGCAGGCCAGGGTCAAGATCCAACAGACCGATAGTGTTGTTCGGCCATATGTTCTTGACAAGGCTCCATCCGTGTTATCCGTGGGTATGAGATGCCTCAGGGACGGATATGATTTCGTTTGGAGAGCCCACAGCAGGCCTTATTTTCGACTTCCGGATGGTTCACGCATCAAGCTCGAGGTCAAAGACAATGTTCCATTCATTCCCCCAGCAACTCATAATGCTGTTCCAGCTTTGTCACAGAGCATTCCAAAGGTTACATCATTACCATCAGCTCCCATTGAAATCGATGATGAAGTTCTGGTCATTGACGAGGAACCCGAAGCTGTTGAAGAGGTGCTTGTGACCAATGAGGATGATGGGGATGAATTGGGGAACGATGACTTCTTGCTTGAGGACACCATTAGCCAACCGGAAGGTGAGGTCATTGAAGAGTGCCATGACATTCCCTCCGAAGATGCGCCTAAGGTCATCGCTTCCGATTTTGTGTCGAAGCCTATTTTGAAGGACGCCCCTCGCGAACGCGGTGAAGCAGCTTTGCGTGATGAGGCGACCTCACTCCAGCACTTGATGTGTCACACTCCCAAAAATCCCTTTTGTGAGACTTGCAACAGGGCGAAGATGTACAAATATCCATCAAGACAGAAGGGAGGTTCCACTCAAGTCGAGGCCAAGAAGTTTGGTGATCACCTCACGGCGGACCATCTTATTACATCAGATGATCGTGAAATCGGCATTGACCAATCTAGAGTTGCACTTGTTGTTCGAGATGTTGCCACTGACTTCCGTTATGTTTACCCAGCAGCACGGAAAACCTCTCATCAGTGTGTGATGGCATTCAAGCACTTTGTCCGCACCGGGGAAACCGTGAACGTGTTTTACAGTGATCGGGCTCCTGAACTTGTGAAAGCGGCAGATCAATTGGAATGGAAGCATGTTCAAAGTACAAACTACATTTCCAAAACAAATGCTATTGCTGAGAGGAACGTCAGGGCGATTATCGAGGGCACGAGGACCAACCTGGAACAAGCTGGTTTGCATCATTCGTATTGGCCACATGCCGCCAAACACTATTGCATGGCGCATAACATCACGGACCACCCAGATTATTATTCACCATGGAAGGTACGTTTTGGAGAAGATTTTCCCGGACCATATTTGCCCTTTGGTTGTCAAGTCAACTTTTGGACCGGCCCGAGGAATCGACCCAACAAGCCTTTGAAGTTTGAACCTACTTCCAGGGCTGGAATATTTCTGGGGTATCCCATCCATCCTGACTTTCTTTGGCGTCATGAATTTCTCGTTATTCCTTTGCGAGATTTGATGGAGAAGGACTATGATCAACCTATTGCTCCTTTGAGGGTAAATCAAATCAAATGTCCGGATGGCGAATTCTCTTTTCCAATGGTCGAACGGCACTTATTGCACATGAACGGCGTTATGCCGGGGCTTGAATACGCTCCTGAGACGCCCGATCCAGCTGCATTGGATGCGCCGCTCTTGGAGGAGGATTTGCCGGCAGAGATGCCAGGCCAGGATGACATCGATGATCAGGAACTCGCTGAAAACCTCGGAAAGCTGATCAAAGATTCCCCCAAGAAGGGACCCGCATCGGAGGAGATGGTCAAAGTCATTGATTTGAAAACCAGCAAGGACACCTTTGTTCCCAAAGATGGAGGTGCTCATTACGATGCGGGGGGTGTGAAAGCCCGAAGGTATTCAGGATCAAGCAAACCCGACAGTATTCCACCTTTTCTTTGGAAAACAATGTCAACAAAGCAAAGGAGACTCGCCATCATCAAAGATGAACGAGAGAAGGCTCGCGAGGCTTTGCTCGATGAGCCCGTCTCCGAGGACCCGGAAGCTTCTTCATCCAAAGCTAGGCCGGCGACCACTGCAGGATTGGAAGATGAATTTTCAAA